TGGTTGGCTCAGTTGGTAGAGCATGTGACTCTTGATTTCAGGGTTTTGAGTTTAAGCCCCATGGTGGGCGTAGACCTTACTTTAAAAACAAAAAAAAGGGGGGCGCCTGGGTGGCTCAGTGGGTTAAAGCCTCTGCCTTCAGCTCGGGTCATGATCCCGGGGTCCTGGGATCGAACCCTCTGCTCAGCAGGAAGCCTGCTTCCTCCTCTCTCTGACTGCCTCTCTGCCTACTTGTAATCTCTGTCTGTCAAATAGATAGATGGGGTCTTTAAAAAAATAAAATAAAATAATTTAAAAAAAACAAAAAAAAGAAAGAATATGGTACATTTAATGCTGCAATATTATATATCCATTTAAATAACACTAGAGTATTAATAACATTGAAAATTGTTTATAATACATGATAAAGTTTAAAAAGCAGTTTACCAGTTAACCTATAATATAATCCTATTTTTCCAATTACAATTTACTTTAAGATGTTTTCTATAACAAATGTGTATTTCTTTTTTAGTAAGAAAATTGTTTTTCTATAAAGGCCAGAGGAATCACATGATCTCCCTCCTTCTGTTCCAGTTCTATACTCTCCAAGCAAATTCCTGATTATCAACTTCTTTTTCCCAGGTATTTCTGTAACAAAAAAGGGGATGCCCTGGACTGGAGAAGTGAACATTCTGTAAATTGCAAAGTGCTACCCACTTCCCATTGTGGATTTCTGGTGATACATACAGCCTAGAAAGAAAATTAGAAGCCATTAAAGGAGGGAAACAAAGTGACTGAAAGGGAAGAAAACAATGCTAGGAATAAAGTATTAAAGTCAGGGACCTATAAAAGAAGGTAAGGTATGGTCAAATGTATTTGTAAACCCTTGCAACAAATGTGAGTCCTGAGTAATAAAAAGTAGTAAGAAGGTGATGATTACTGCAGGGAAATAGGGACAAATGATGTGGATTTAAAAACCTATATAAGAACACACATTAAAAAAGAAAGCATAGCCTCTTTTCTAATTAATGCAAAATAAAATGAACATGTAAAAAAATAGCTTATTTTGAAATACAATATCCTAAACTGTGCACAGAGTAGACAGCTTTCTATAATCTGATGTAGTCCTCAAAGTCCATTCTACCCCAAATTCTCTCTCATATTGGTTCATCACAGTGCGTCCTTCTGAGTTAAAATGTTTGGGTAAGAGCAGGTTTAAATGCCCAAGTTACTATCAGTACACATACCCACAAAGGTCATTTTGAATTGTTTCAGTGAGCAAAATCTTTAGCCAACATCTTAAGTATTATGATTTTTGGCTCATTTTGATTGGAGGAAAAAATATTTAAAAGGGTCAAGGACTAGAAGACACCTGGACAACAAGAGCGAGCCCAAAGGCAGTAGAAGCCAAGGAGGCATATCAAAAGGAGGCAGGATCTGACACTGTGTGATCAGGGATGTCAAGGCAAATTTATGTCATAATTCTGCCTTATGAAAATAAGTAATTTAAGTATATAATATCTTGAACATTCCAGGCACCATATTAAGAACTTCATGTAAACTGCTTTAACAATCTTAAAAAGGAAAATACTGTTATATCTATTTTTAAAAATAGTTCATGCTACATAGAAAAATAAACCTGGAATCTGGATTTCCTACCTCACACCATATATTGTAGAAATCAAAGATCTCATTGTGAAAGTACAACTCTAAAGTAAATAGAAGAAATTGTAGAATATTACTGTGACTTTGGGAAAGGACAGGACTCAAAAAATTAATGGATTTTACTGTATCAAACTAAAGATAAACTTGTTCAATGACAAAACCTCATGAATAAAACTTATAAATGGGTGACAGATGGAAAAATTATTTGCAACATCTAAGATGGACAAGAGATTGATATCTAGAACATGGGCTGTTCTATAAACAGATAGTAAATATTTTAGGCTTTGGAGGTCATATGGTCTTTGTTGGAACTGCTCAACTCTGCTGTTGTAGCATGAACAGAGCCATACACAACATATAAATGAATGAATGTAGCTGTGTTTTTTAAAAAATATTGATTTATTTCAGAGGGAGAGAAAGAGAGAGCGAGCGAGCAGGGGAAGGGCATAGGGAGAGATAGAAACTCTAGCAAACTCCCCATTGAGTGCAGAGACTGAAGAGGGTCTTGAATCCCAAGACCCCAAGATAATGGCCTGAGTCAAAGTCAAGAGTCAGAGGCTCAAATGACTGAGCCACCCAGGTGCCCCTGAATGGGGCTATGTTCTAAGAAATCCTTATTTACAAAACTAGGTGGTGAGCAGGATTTGGCTTGCAGGCTGCAGTTTGTTGACTCCTCATCTAGAATATACAAAAAATTCTTATGGATCAATAAGAAAAATTTAATAAACTCAATGGACAGCCCGGCAAAGGATATCAATAAGCAGTTGGCAAAATGAAAAATCTAAGTGGCTAAACAAGTATATTAATCGAGAAATGCCAATTAAAAGTAAATACATTTTGCACATATCTGTGAGAACATGAAAGTCAGACAATTCGGGTGGAGGTAAGGGCATGTGGAAACATGGAACCCTCATGTCTTGCTGATGAGGGTCAGTTAGACATTCTGCAGAGCAATCTAGAAGTGCTAAGTTAATTTAAGTATATGTTTCCATAATCTAAATAAAGGAGAACTCCTTCATAAAGGGTAGCAGGCACCTTATAACAACAAAAATATATTTGCCTTATTTTGTAATTAGATTTAACATATTTTTCTCATTTCACTAGAGATAGACAAAAACACCATCATAGACTGTCACTAGTCTACAGATCAGCTGTTATAAACTACTTCTATCAATGTGTTTTAGACATGGAAAAAATATTAATATTCTTAGCATCTAATTCTCTCACAGTTTAGAGTTTCGTATCTTTAAGAGAACTGGTTTTAGATACTAGACTGAGTGCAAAATTTACATAAACTTAAGATAAAGCAAGACTTCAATTTTGTAGGATGGACAGCCAATTACAGGGTTCTACTCTTAGATCTTTCTGCATTTTTCTCTCTTCTGAAGAGTGTCAAGAGCACATCAGCAGAAAAATCTGAGAAATGATCAGTTAATAAGAAGGGATGATTATTGAATATCCATCAATCTTTAGCTAAATAAAACTAAGATATGGCCAAAACACCAAGAGGAGCTTGCAAATACACTGATTAAAAAGGTGTATTATCTCGGGGTGTCTGGGTGGCTCAGTGGGTTTAGCCTCTGCCTTTGGCCCAGGTCATGGTCTCAGGGTCCTGGGATGGAGCCCCACGTTGGGCTCTCTGCTCAGCAGGGAGCCTGACTCCCCGCCCCCACCCCCTGCCCGCCTCTCTGCCTACTTGTGATCTGTCAAATTAAAAAAAATATATTAAAAAAAAACTGTATTGTCTCAAAGAAAATATATCCACATGCTTTATTTATTTATTTATTTATTTTTTTTTAGCAGGGGGAAGAGCAGAGGGAGAGGGAGATAGAATCTTAAGCAAGCTCCACACCCAGCATAGAGCCTGACATGGGGTTCAATCTCACAGCCTTGAGTCATGACCTGAGTCAAAATCAAGAGTCGGATGCTTAACCGACTGAGCTACCCAAGGCACCTTCACATGCTTTATTAAGTAATCTCTACACCCAATATGGGACTTGAACTCACAACTCTGAGATCAAGAGCTGCATGCTCTACTGACTGAGCCAGCCAGGCACCCCTTTACATGCTTAACCTTAAAAATGATTTATTTAAACTCTATTCTAGTATTGAAAACCACTTGCGAGTTAAAAGCTGTGAAATAAATGAAACATTTTCTTACTTCCCAGTGTTTTATCACATGTTCATTTGCTTAAAAGTTAGTTTATACTAAAGCCTATGTATACTATTGTTTTTTGAGTAGTCATTGAAAGAAAAGTAGTTTACCCAGTGAATTGTACATATTAAACAGGTAAATTTTATAATATTTAATTCTATCTTAAGCTGCTAAAAAAAGTGGTTTAGATAATCAGTCATCTAGTCTTGTGGCTCTTAATTGTAGCAGAATGGGATCAGAGGCAAAAAGCAGGAGTGGAATGATGCCAGCCAATCAGGATTTGGGCTAAATTTCCAGCCTATTTTATCTGGCCTTTAGGTAATCTAGAAAGAGAATGTGTGCCCATGTGTGTGTGTGTGTGGGGTGTGTAGAGAGGGAAAGTGAGAGAGCGTGGGGAGGGGGAGAGAGAGAAAGAGAGGGAGAGAGAGATTGAGGCTGGCACTGTGGACAAGGGAGGGAGTGCTAGAGCAAAAGTTCAAGATGAACCAAATGTCAGAGTTGCAATACATTTCCATGAATTCCTAAGAAATAGAGAAGACTTCTATTGGACACTACTGAAAGGAAACGTGACAGTCCTCCAAAGCAGTAGTGGGAGCACAGGAATCTTATTTAAAAAAGACTTCTTTTAGGTGCCTGGGTGGCTCAGTTAGTTAAGCGTCCACCTTCGGCTCAGATCATGATCCCAGGGTCTTAGGATTGGGTCCCACATCAGGCTCCTTCCTCGGCTGGGAACCTGCTTCTTCTTCTCCCCACTTGTGCTCTCTCTTGCTATCTTTTTCTCTCAAATAAATACAATCTTTTTTTTTTTTAAGACTTCTTTCTGGGGCGCCTGGGTGGCTCAGTGGGTTAAGCCGCTGCCTTCGGCTCAGGTCATGATCTCAGGTCCCTGGGATCGAGTCCCGCATCGGGCTCTCTGCTCAGCAGGGAGCCTGCTTCCCTCTCTCTCTCTGCCTGCCTCTCCATCTACTTGTGATCTCTCTCTGTCAAATAAATAAATAAAATCTTAAAAAAAAAAAGACTTCTTTCTGTGGCCTGCAACAACTTTCATATAAGGACTGCTTGAGTGGAAACTGAAGGTTGCTTTTAGAAACAAGAATTTAAAAACGAAGATCACACTGTATGTAAAGGGAACACTTTTGGTAGAAAAGAACACTTTTTTTTTTTTAAAAAAGACAACACATAGATATGATAAAACACAGAGTGCTGGTACACATTTATTCTTTTATTGCTAAACATCAAATGCCAGTGGCTATGGTATCTTCAACTTGAATACTAAGAATGAATTACAGCATAGTTGAAAGAAAGATCCGTAGAAAAAAATACCTGTGCACCATTAATTAGTATGTGGACATTCAATAAATACCACAGGACAAACTGATGATGGAGAGCCATGTATCCATGAAGTGCCTGTTTAAAATTTGCTGTTAGAATAGATGACAATGACCCTATAAGAATGATTATCAAAAGGTCAAGTTTAAACCATGTCTTTTCCAACTGAGATGAAAAGAATATATACATTCTTTACACATTGTAGGTGATTTAAAAAACTGTGGAAAATGTAAACAATGTAGAGTAGAACACTGAAAATAAAGTACTGTTGAACAACGTGACAACACAGAAAGCACATTTTTTTCAAATCCTCAAAGTAATTCATTTTTCTAATTGTTCTACATTAACCAAAATGGGTTATTTTCATAAAGATGATAATATACTAGGGACACAAAGACCTTCCAAGTTATTTTGTTGTTAACATATATTTACAGTAAATATTCAATAATACTATTCATAGCTTACTTAAATAGAAACATGCTTTTCTAATCCATAAATACCAGTATTCATCATTCATTCGACCACGTTTATTAAGTATTTATGATGTCTCATGCACTGTGCCAGGGATGCAAAGCCGAGTATGGCATGGTTCTTGCTCTAGAAGTGCCCACAATCAAGCTGAAGAGACAACAGATAATATTTCCTTTCTTACACGATGAGGCCATTTCTATGCAAATGCAACTGATTTGCTCATTATCCTAATAAGAGTGGTTCTCAAATCCCGACCCTATAGAGCAAGAGACCAAGATGTTCAAATGCTACAAGAAAATGAGGTGTTTGGTTGTAGCTGTTGTTTTTTTTTCCCACCCAGAAAAAGAAGTTAATGGGTAGGATTTCCTCTATTAAAATTTTTTTGTTTTAAAAAACTGACCTGCACATATACAACATGTTCATTAGTAAACTGCATAGTTCATGTTATCAAATTAATTATGCAAGTATTTCATGGTATTCTCCAAGTTCTACTATCTAAACAGGTCTGAGCTCTCTGCTAACAGACTTTAATCCTGAATGACTATCTACCTAAGAATACAACAACCACCTTTTTCCTGGGATAAAAGAATAACTTGTATGATTTTAGTAGTGGTAATAACTGATGACATCAAGTCATTCATAAAATCTTAACAGTATACTCAATAAATAATTTCTATTTAAGAAGGCAGGCAAATTTGCAATACAGTCTAAAGAACTTCTTAAAAATTAAAAACCTTTATTGCTGAAGAGCAGCTCAATAATCATAAAAAGGTGAACCCCATGGAATGCCTCACTTAGTGAAAAAGTTGGGTACACAGTTGTTAATGTTCTTGAGTGTATGAAGGAAGCACGTATTTTTCAACAAAGAACAGTACGCTCAGACACTTAGAAGACCAAGAGTTTCACAGTGGCCTGTTGACTTCCTGGGTCTTCCAGGGTTCCAGCTCCAGTCCAAAAGACCTTGAACTACTCAGGGCTCTTTTGGGCTCAAGAGTCAGTTCCCAGGCTCTGGCAAATCCACATCTGTACTCATGTGTAGCCATTCTCACTGTACTACCAAGTCTTCCGTGGACCCATAGAGGTAGCTTAGGAGAAAGATGGAAAGCAAGGACTGGGTGTTTACAGTCAATAAAGAGAAACATGGAAGCTGCTGGTGAGGACAGAGTATGGTTGAGAGCTTACGGTAGTTGCTCCTTGAAAGCAGGAACCCAGGACCTAGGCCCCAGATAACCCCAGCAGCACAAGAGAAAACGTCTACCCTGAAAGGGTTCTGAGCTTCAAAGCTTTGTGGAGAATAGTAACCAGGACTGCAGCAGATCTGTCTCGTGATCTGTTAGAAGACCAGGCTCAGTTCTGACACTTAACTTTAACTTTCTCAGCTCACATGCTGCAAGTGGAAGATACTTCTTGTAGCTCACTCTGAATGTCAGAACACAGTGCTGCTTTATGAGGGTACGTACGGGGACATTTTATCAAAGAGGCAACTCTTGTAGGGCAAAGCATGTGTCATTGTAAGCCCTACCTCCTACTTTGTTCCCTTATTTGGTATCATTTAACAAAGATTTTCCCTTTCATGTCAGCAGATGCTTTTATAGAATTTTATTAATTGTAATCAGACCTCAGTTGTCAGAGTACAAAATAATCTATCAATAAATCTTAAAATACTTTTCAAACTAAGAAAGAAGACAAGAGAGGTAGGCCAAGGAAATGCTCACCCTTCCAGTTGGCCAGAGTCTGGTCTTCTTCAAATCTGGGTTAATGATGCTTTTTCAGATAGTTTGCCCCAATTAATTCCAACCAATTCTCTTCTCCTTTACACTACTGCAGTATGATATATAGTCACACAGAATGGTTTAATATGAATTTTCACTTGTTTAGAAATTGTTTCACAAGCATCTGAAATTTGTTAAGTTCAGTCTTTAAAAGTAGGATGTGGTCAGGGACTATGCCTTTCATTTCTTCTGTTTATCCCCCATTCCAGAGTTTGGATATTCTGATACAGGAGGAGCTTAAAGTTGTTGGTTAAAATGTAATTTTAAGGAAATGCTTTCTCTTTCATATAAAGTATCATTCTGCAAGATGAATGCAAACATTACCGTGCTGTAACCATCCAGAGTCCCAGGGTCACGTTGGCAGCCAGAAGTACACTACCACCAAGCAAGATGAAAAATCCTATCAGATCTTTGATGTCATTGTCTCCAATCACTGAGGTAAGGGTAGCATCTAGGAAAGAGTTTAAAATCCACTGACCATCCAAGGCAAAGCAGGGCACTGCATTAACAATAGCCAGAGCTCCTGAGAGAGAAATCAGGTACCTGGTTAAAATGAGTTAAGGAGCCGACTGTGAAGTCTGAGTGGAAAACACATATTTAGTAATCAGAAGAAGATATTTTACTAGGACTACATTTGAGATTATACTTGACTTCCCTACTTTCTTTAAATTTCTGCCCCCTAGTACAGGATATTCCTTCTTATATCCTGGTATTTACTTATTTATTTTTTAAAAGATTTATTTGAGAGAGAGAGAGAGAGAGAACGTGGGTGAGCAAGGGGGAGGGGCAGATGGGGAGAGAGAGAGAGAATCCTGAAGCAGACTTCTCACTGAGCAAGGAGCCCCATGAGGGGTTCCATCCCACAACCCTGAGACAATGACTTGAGCCAAAACCAAGAGCTGGCTGCTCAACTGACAGCCACCCAGGCAATCCAGATCTCTACTATTTCAAACAAATTATTTATATTATTTTAAAGCTCAAAAACCTTGACTAGAAAAATAAAGGCCAACCATTTGCAAACTAAAGCAATCTGTAACAAACTCAGAGGAAGACTGAGTCTTTGTAATCTAATGACACAAGGAGGGAAACGAATGTGGAAGCAACTAGAAATAAGGGAAAATCATTTTTTGATCCTTACAAAGTACTAACTTATCTTAGGAAACATAAAGATTTTGGCCCCTTCAACTCTATTTTACTATTATCTATGAGGTGATAGAGTAAATATAACTATAACATAACTATTTTATTATCATCTATAAGGTTATGTCTATCATAAATCTCTGAGACAAAGGTACAATCTACAAGGTAGAATCTTGATTGTACATATTTTCCAGTAACTGCTCATTTGTTTTCCCTTTCACATTTCTGCAAATTATTGAAAGAAATGAAGATGATTTAAAAGCGACAAAAATATGTATTGTGCACATGAAACTGATGTAACAATGAAATGTTAACTATAATGGAATTGAATAAAAAAGATCCATACTTAGATATAAACTTAAAATCTAGAAAGTTTAAAAAAAGTGACGAAAAGAAAGAACCCTTACAAACTGCTCGGTTTGTTCAGATTCCTCCTAATGATGGATTTAAAAAATCAAGTTTTATATTCAAACAAAATATGCTGAAGAACTCAAGGTATTATCCTCTGAATTGCTATTTTGATAGTGGAAACCAGTTCGGTCTCCCTTACTCATTCCTCCATTTAGTCAGAGTTAACGGGCTCAGAGAGGGCAGAATTCGTCACCATGGTAGAAACTGAAGCTTTCAATCTTTATAAACTTACTAAGGCGTCTTAGATCAGTAAATTCAACTCTCAATTTATAGTCTCGGTTCCTTTTCTTCCATATCTTAACTTTTTTCCTTCCCCAATCTCTCTCTCTCCTCTGACTTCTTCCCTCCTAGTTACAATTTGATCTTTTTCAACTTTAAAGTCTCCTTTTTAGTTGTTAGCAATCAATCGATATTATTAAGGTGCGTGCATGCTCTATTCAAGGTAAGCCTGATCATGTTCCTAGTAACACTTTTAAAAACATTCTTCACGCCAGAAAGGATACTTGACAAATGTCTCCACAACCACAGGCAGATCTATGCTTAGAAAGTTGAAACGTGGGATAAAACTGGTGATGCTCACTAAAAAAGAAAAATAAGGAATAATGAATATTGTTCATACAGGTAAGTAACAGTATTATAAAAATTTTTCTATATGGTAAAAAATTAGGCTAGCCTATTAAATTGGTTGAGAAAGCCCTTCCCAAACATATGCAGGCAGCCTATATGCCCCACATATAAAACAATTATTCTAGAACACCTAATAAATATAGTGGAATATAGAAATTCATGTCCCAGTGTGTACTTACATTCGACTGTATACCAAGTATGACTACCAAATACAGAGACTGACTTAAAAACTATGGCAGAATTTATCAAGAGTCCTTATCCTTCAAAGAGGTATAACCTTAAAATCATATTAATTCTAACTATTAATTAAAAAGAAGAATGACCCAGGTTGTAACTCAGAATATGACTATGAAGCAATGGGAGAGCGTTTTAAAGAGTAACATAAAACCTACATATTCATCAACTGAGGAATGGATAAAGAGAATGTGGTATGTCCGCAGAATGGAATATTTGGCCATAAAAAGGAAGGGCATACTGACGCCTGCTATACCATGGGTGAACCTTAAACACATTACACTAAGTGAGAGAAGTCAGTCACAAAATATTCTACTTATATGAAATGTGCAGAACAGGCAAACTTATAGAAAGTAGATTAGTGGTTGCTAAGAGGTGGGGGGGCGGGGTTGGGAAGAAATGAGAACTGACTGCTTAATGGATATGGGGTTTCTTTTTGGGGTGATGAAAATATTCTAGACCTAGATTGTGGTGATGGTGACACAACTCTGAATATATTAAAAACTCTTCAATTGTACACCCTAAAAGGGTCAAATACATGGTATGTGAATTATATTTCAATACAATTGTTATAAAAAAACAACAAAACGAGTTGGATCATATGATCTTCAGCCATATGGAGAAGCTATCTATTTAGTCCAATCATGTAGCCACTGTTGAAACAATTATGCTGGCCCAGTTTTGAAAATTATATTCATATAAAATTCATGTGTTATACATAAATTATAGTCTTAACACAATGACTCCTGGATTCTCTGGGATATGTTGCTCTTGCCACTGTTTTGGGAGTTTGGAGAGATATAATAAGCTCTCAGAGAACATCTGAGAGAGCACCTATGTGACTTGGGAATAAATGGTGGTGAAAAGAAAATACATTACTCTCTATAGGCAGACATGGGAATCAGCTCCATCTTGCTTCATAAATTCAGATTATTTTCCTAATGGTAAATTTCATACAACACTTACGAACAAGTCAATAAGACTTTGAAAAGTGGTCACATTTATAATAAATAAAATTAACATAGGATTTGTACTGAGTTTCTGCCATGGAGAATATATACCATCTTAATGATTTTGGGGGTTGACCACAATAAACACTCACCTGTGTAGTGAAGGTGCAGTGGATGGCCTACATACAACATATCAATTTGAGGTGGATGTTTCACTTTTATTAAGCGAGTATGAGTTTCCAAAGAAGGTATTATACAGAAACTTGAACTTGAACTTTTTTTACAATCTTTATTGGTTCTACAAACTTGCGTGGCTTCAACTGCTTTCCGGGCAGGTAAGCATGTGTGCTATGAACAAAATATTAATTAGTCAATACTAAAAATAATTTACTAACAAGAAAACAAGAAAGTTACAGGTTTTTAATATCTTTTATGTCACAGAGAATATAAGGAACAAATTCACAGAGAAGAAATGCCATTCATGTGCACCTACTATAAATTAGATTCAAATATTCCACTTTGGCCAAATAAGGTATCACACCTGTAAATTGTTGAGAAGTCTCAGTTGAAACGTGGCAAGTGAAATGTAGAAATGTTAATAAAACAACACAAAGCAAAAGGGAAAAGTTTTCAGAGATTCCATTTTAGATCTATATGATTATTTAGTAAAGACTGTATCAGACAAGCAAGGGACAACTCACCAAACGCTTATTAAAGTTATTTCTGTAGGAAAAGCACACATCCGTGAGGCTGTGATTGTTACAACATTCGGTCGAACCATCTAGCCGTTTGTATGCTGGAGAGAAATAATTTTTTAGAATCTGTTATACAGAAGTACATTTAAAAAAATTTTTTTTACTTATTTATTTGACAGAGAAAGACACAGCAGGAGAGGGAACACAAGCAGTGGGAGTGGGAGAGGGAGAAGCAGGCTTCCTGTGGGCAGGGAGCCCGATGTGGGGCTCGATCCCAGGACCCTGGAATCATGGCCTGAGCTGAAGGCAGATGCTTAATGACTGAGCCACCCAGGCGCCCCCAGAAGTACATTTGTAATAAAAATTTTGCTTTCAAGACAAAAATGTAAGTAAAATGCACATGAATTTGGAAACAATTGTGTGATTGAGGGTTCAGTTTGACAGGCTACTTGCTGCAGTGACTTTATGGTACAAAAAAAGGACATGATATTACAAAAAGAGATGCGTCCAGCTTGGAATCAAGAAGCAGTACTATAGGGGTGCCTGGGTGGCTCAGTGGGTTAAGCCTCTGCCTTTGGCTCGGGTCATGATCTCAGGGTCCTGGGATGGAGCCCCGCATCAGGTTCTCTGCTCAGCGGGGAGCCTGCCTCCTCTCTCTCTCTGCCTGCCTCTCTGCCTAGTTGTGATCTCTCTCTCTGTCAAATAAATAAATTTTTAAAAAAGCAGTACTTACCCTAGATTAACTGTCCTCACATAAACTTGCCTCAAATAAAGCTGGAGTTCCAGGGTCTCAGCAGGTTTTGCAATAACTCCAGCAGGTCAAGCACAAATATTTAATGAGCCACTATTAGCAGCTATAATGCTACTGATCTAGGATTACTACTGAGTTCCTGCATTATACTGTTAGCAGAATGGGCGAGAGGATGCCTAAGAGGCTCTTATCCCTAAAATCCCTATTATAGCAAATATCTATCTTACCTCCATGCTTACCTTGGGCCTTTCCTCATAAAATCAGGGCAGCCCAATTTGACCACAGAGATGTGCAATATTTGACTGCCTACCAGTAATCCAGTTACCATTTTTGGAAGACAATGGAAACAGGGCAACTTTTTATTCCCATCATTCATTTATTTTTAAAAGTTCTTTGCTAGACTGCCTCACTTGTATCTAGGGCAGAATAAGAAAACTAAGTCATTGATACAGGTGGGATAAAAAATTATTTCCATGTATTTATTTTGGAAGGTTTCCTGTATTCAGCATATCAAACTTGTAAAGCATAAATCGATGTGCAGCAGGGACCAATTAAACTTAGAATCTTATATTCGCACTACCATACTCAGATGTGCTAAGGAAGATAGACTCAAGAGCAAAGTTACCACAGAACTACCAAAAAAAAAAAAGTACATTTTTCCAGTCCACAGGAAGTTTTTCTATTACAAGAGTGTCTTCAGAAGCACTGGCATGAAAATCTTAGTTGAGATGCAATGTGATTTTATAAGGATTTTCTATTTTTGCCATCAGTTGTTTGCAGTGAAGAGTTTTTTTTTTAAGTTTTATTTATTTAAGTGATCTCTATACCCAACGGTTGGCTTGAACTCCTGACCCTGAGCTCAAGAGTCAGATGCTCTACTACTGAGCCAGCCAGACACCCCAAAACAGTTTAAAAAAAAACTAGGTTATTTGAGGGGTGCCTGGGTGACTCAGTCCATTAAGTGTCTGACACCTGATCTCGGCTCAGGTCTTGATCTCAGGTTGAGAGAGTTCAGCCCTGCACTGGGTTCCACACCCAGTGGGGATCCTACTTAAAAAAGAAAGGAAAAAAGACATCTTGTATTGGTTAGACTGTCACCATCTTTCCTTGGCCAACATAAAACGAAGAACAAAACAGAGATGACAAAAACTAGCTGACAAATCAGTTTCTCCTCTGCATTGCTTGGCTGTGTGGGTAGTTTTGATTTGTTTTCTTAGCATGATTGAATAGGCATTTAAATTTGGGATGATGAGTTGTCTTTGAAATATGAAAGCAAACTGTGACTATCTAATGGCACAGACAAACCTGTGCCTGTAATCATTCATCAGCCCTAACTGTAAAGTATAAGGTAAAAAGTTGTTTAGGATTTTTTATTTTTTACCAATTCAGGCTACAATTTCAATGTTCTCTCTGATTAGTTGCCAAGTCCCACCAATTTTAACCTCCTTATTATTTTTCTCCCTGTATATTCCCATTTGAGTATAGATTCTACTTCCTCTCATGTGATCCATTTGAAGAATCCTAGTAAGTCTTGTTTGCTCATCAGCTAGCCAACACATGCAAGCTTTTCCTACATACTGAATGGTTCAGATTAACCTTCCAATGTAGAACTATGAGACTATAACTCCTCTAATCCAAAACTTCCAAAGATTGCACTGCTCCCAAATAATGCTAAATTCCATAGACTAAAATAGAGAGACTAGAGACTTCTTTTATCATCTTATCTCATACCATTAACTTGCTGAACCAAGTTACCAGCAGTTCCCTGACCACTTTCTAGTCTATGGTTACGAGGTTCATTTCTATCTTGGCCTCCTGAAATTAAACTCACTGCTGAGGCCCAACTCAAGGGCCGCTGCTATGAAATCTGCCCTCCTCTTCTCAGTCAAGACTGATTGCCACCAATTCCCATAACTCCACCAATTCCCGTCATTACCCACAGTTAACTTTGTACCACAATAATATGGCTATGGTCTGCTTCTTTTTTAAAGAAGTTTTTATTTAAATTCCAATTGGTTAATATACGGTGTAGTATTCGTTTCAGGTATAATATAGTGATTCAACACTTCCATACCTCACCCAGTGCTCATCACAAGTACACTCCTTAATCCCTATCACATGGTCTATATCCTTGACTAGATTGAGCTCCTTGAGAAAAAAATTTCTCAATCTTACATAAGGTACATAACTCAATATACATTGACTACATAAATGATGTTCTATGCCATTTGCCTTTGTTTTAGTAATTATTTACAAAATTTACATCTGATGCTTGACCACTAACTTTTCTTGGAGGAATGTATGCAATACAGAATTGAAAGTCAAGAATCTGATATCACTTTTGATACAGCATGTCTGGTAACACAAATGCTTAAAGGGGCCAACCAGGAAGCAAATAAATGAAGTGCATAGTGTTTGGAAAAAATAGGAAGTGTTGGGACTGTGATGAATTAGGAAACATACATCCTGTTTTAAGGGATCAGCAGCTAGGCTACTCAACTTGGGGCCCTGATTTCACAGATCATCTATTTTATTCCAAAAGAAATCTGAAATCTGTACATTCACGTGAAACCTCTTGAATTTTAATCATTGGCATCTAATTAATATTCATATTAAAAAAAATACCACACAGGCCAAACCAAATGTATCTGTTGAGGTTGGCTTTGGCCTCTGGGCTATCACCAATTTGCAACCTCTATGTTATGACTTCTTCCTATGGTGATTATTCCAACCAAAACATAAATCATGGCTGTGGCCATCCTGACAAGTTTAAATACCTCCTGACAAACATAATTTTCCAATAAAGAGTTAAATATTTTGTTGTGATTTGAGAAGTAAATTTGATATTTCTGTTTATCCATTAAAAGAAGGTGTAGTTTTAAAAACTATTTTATAATCTTTTCTACTGGGTCACATTTAAGGACAAGTTGCTAAGCCAATTTTTGTAACTCCTTTCTTAACCTATAAGATAGGGATGCCACAGACAATTTTCACATTAGTATACATAGTTGTTTTAAGGATGAGAGGCCAATCTAATTCTACTTTAGAATGAGAATTCAAGACCGCAATGAGAGGCCCCGGAGGCATTCATAGGTTGAATTTAACTCTAGATGATTAGAATTGTCCCTTAAATCTCCTCAGTCTGGGAGATAATTAGGTAATTCAAGAACAGATCAGTGGCAGAATTCTACTACAGGGAGAATCTGCATTCTATAAATATGCCCTAAGATGGGCCTCAACACAGTTGTTGACATAGTCTAGCCTCTAAAGACTAGTCTAGACCAGAGGCTTATTTTATTATATTTTTAATTTTTTTTTAAAAGAGTAATCTCTACTCCTAATGTGGGGCTCAAACTTAACAACCCTGAGATTGAGAGTTGCAAGCTCCACTGGCTGAGCCAGCCAGGTACCCTACCAGAGGTTAATTTTAGAATAAGACTGGAAAGAAGAGACTTTTTCAATCTACAGTTCATAGTCCCTACTGCTTTTTTTTTTTTTAAAGATTTTATTTATTTGACAGAGAGAGAGAGAGAGAGATCACAAGTAGGCAGGGAGGCAGGCAGAGAGAGGAGGAAGCAGGCTCTCCGCGGAGCAGAGAGCCTGATGTGGGGCTCGATCCCAGGATCCTGGGATCATGACCTGAGCCGAAGGCAGAGGCTTTAACCCACTGAGCCACCCAGGCGCCCCCCTACTACTTTCTATATTACTAAAATGAACTGAACAATTTTCTTACATTAAATATAAAAATGTAGTTAGGGCTCCAACATAGGGAGGTAAGCCTAGTTATTTATTCTTAGTTCCACAGTAGAATTTTTATCAGCATCACCTAGTAACCAGTAGTTAAAAAATTATAAACATACACACACAGACACATGCACACACACACATTATCTCTTCAGTTTAGGATAGCAAAAAAACCTTTGGATCATAACTTGACGTTCACAATGGAAAAAGAGATACTTTACTTCAAACATTAAAGAAGATTCAGGCATAAAAACAATCTAGGTACTCAAAATATATGGAAAGTCTTTCTGAAAACTTCTTCTTATTATCTTAAACCAGGTGGGGAAGGGTCTTTTCTCACTTGAGGTAAAGATATGTAGGACAGGACAATATTCTCACTGCCAGGCAGTTACAGGGATATACTCTTGCCTCCTCTGAATAGGAATGCAGGCTATTCAAGGGGGCTGTCTGAATCTGAGCTCAAAGCTTCATTTTAGGGAGCAGTTGCTGTTTTTTAAAAGAAGATTTTATTTATTTATTTGACAAAGAGAGAGAGAGCGAGCGAGCACACAAGCAGGGGAAGGGGCAGAGGGATAGGAAGAAGCAGGCTCCCCTACTGAGTAAGGAGCCCGATGTGGGACTTGATCCCAAGACCCTGGGATCATAACGTGAGCTGAAGGCAGCCACCTATGAAGCAACTGAGCCACCCAGTCGCCTTTAGTTTTCAATCTCATGATCCTGAAAATGTAGTTCAAATGGTGGACTTGTTTAGCATAGCCTTTCTTACTCAAGACAATGCTTTCAGGAAAGAGAAAAAAGGAAAGAATTAACAGAAGAAAAAGTAGGTCTAAACAATTTAAGTCATAAGGTAGATTAACTACATTTTTCTAACTTGACAGAACTCTATTTGTTAATACTTTTAAGAAGAACATCCAGTCTGCTTGACTATATTTTTAAAAATTTAATAATATACCGTGAGAGGTAAGTGGCCAGATATGACTGGTTGGGGCAGCTTACATGCACTTCCAGGGTCAGATCTTTCTAAGGTGGCTTTATTTTTCTGCAGTGGTATAAATTCCTAGAATTTTAATTATGCATACTAAATTCCACTCCAAAATGAACACAAATCATCACTTTTGGATTACTGGCCACTTTGTATTACCATATTTAGCTGTATGTTTCCCCAATGTTTATAATGAAGGATAAAAAACCATATCTAGATACATGTAAAATACTATTAATCCATAGCTTTCTTAAAAATGTCCACAGCCCCAGTGGTCAAGTCTGCCATTAAAAATTAATCTGGTATTTATTTGAAGTTACATTTACAGTCATTAGGATTCCTATTAGCTAGCTAAATATATGTACTCCATTTTAAAATGATTAAATACAGGTAAAGGTTTATCAGACACAGTCATCATGTAGAATCAACCTGTATCCTAATACAGTCACTTCTAAGGAGATAAAATGGATACTGAAGAATAATTTTGGGACTGATTTTTTTTATTAGTGTGGAAAGAATAATCACTGCTTTAGGTTTTTACACAAACATCTCCAAAATACAGCATATGACCCAGAAAAGTGAAATACTCAAAAAAGTTAATAAGGGTTTCAGAGTATTTCAGGGAAGATTTTCATTTCCATTCTGTCTGACAGGAAAAGGACAATACCTTAAATTTCTGAAATGCAGTTACCCTAAATAAAACAGTTCTACTAGAAAGAACTTGACTTGATTACTGTGTCAGTTTGGCTTTTGTAATTCAATAGAAATTATATCAAATTTAAAGAAATTGGGAGGAAAATGATAAAGGACTTAAGAAGTATGAGATAATGTATCATTTTTCTCAGAGAAGAATGCATTATAGGACATACACCAACCTTGTGTCATCTGAAATGTTTGGGAAGATGGTAAATGGTTCTTGAGAACAAGAAAAACTGATAAATATTTCAACCTTCAAGAATCAGGTTAGCTCACTGAACAATGTTAACACTATGTGCCTCCGGACATGATGCAACAGGAAGTAGTGAGCAACAACTATGAAATATTTTCACCCCCTCAAAAAAGTATTTCACCCCCTCAAAAATATTTCCACCCCTTTCTGGATCCAGAATTTAAGCAAGCCTCTAAACCTAATGACCATTTATAGGAGATTTGGGAGATAACTGAACATATTAACAACATCATAAGGATTAACACAGAGCCAGACAAATCCAGAATACGGGCAATTTGACAAAACAAATGACTGTTTCTTAAATGATATCCCCCCCAAGAGGGGGAACTGTTCCAAGTTCAAAGACACTTAAAGGGCATACCATTCAACCTAAACCAACTATTAAAAAAAAACAATTAGGAAAAAGTGAATGCTAACTAGTTCTTACAAATTGGTGTTAATTTTCTTAGGTGTGACTAACAGCACTATGGTCATGTTTAAAAAGTCATCATATATTAAAGACATGCTAAAGTTTGTGGAGGAAATGATACAATGCCTGGGATGTGCTTTAAAATACTCCCCTCAAAAGTGGGCTAATTAGATTAAAAAAAAAAGCTGGCAAAATGCTGATAATTGCTGAAGCTGGGAGAAGGATGAAGGAGGTTTCATTTATACTATTTTTTTTTCTTTTCCTTTTTTGAAAGTTTTATTTATTTAAGTAATCTCTACACCTAATGTGGGGCTCCAACTTACAACCCTGACCAAGATCAAGAGTTGCATGCCCCCTCGACTGAGCCAGCCCGGTACCCCCCATACTACTTTCTTGACTTTTATGTATGTTTGACAACTTTTTACAGTAATAAAAGTTCTTAAGATTGGATTATACATGGAAGATTACACTTGAAAAAAATTTAAAAATCAGTTCCTCCTACTCTGCCATTCTTGCACACAGTACTTAAGTTGTTCTTGATTATATTTCCTAGCCCCAAGTAGATGTGGACAAGCATCCAGGGTATTTCTTGACTTAAAAATATAGTCTGTGAACAAAATTTGTGTTTTTCAACACTGACGATAATCTGGGCCCCATGATTTTGTATAAAGACTTGGGAGGCTGCTTTTTCAGAGCTGAAAGAATTCAAAATAAATCTGGCAGCCTGAGAATAAACTTGTTTCACCTTGTCACTTCCTACACAGAACAAAAGATCTGACTTCAGAGTGTATTTTTGGATGCCAAAATGATTTCCTCTAGATGCCTGCCACATAACATAACTCTATCCCAAATAGCTTTGGATATGATACCACCCATACGGCATGGGGGTATTTAATTACTGGAATTTAGTTAATTGGTTATGGTTGAGCTTGAATGCTGACTTAACACAAGTTCTTCTAAATGAAGAAAGAATCAGACACCAAAGTCCTAAAAGTCAAATATAATATCATGAAATTAGTTAGAAATTCAGTAACAATTAAAAATATTAGTACCCAACTTACCAAGAAGAAAATTTCCTAGTTTGGGCCTACTAGTACTTTACTGATTTGCTTTAAAGAAATTAGAACAAAATAAATCCACAGACATGGTCTAAGAATTGATGAATGGCAAGTACTGTTGCTTGAAGCATTATATTATACTGAAGAAATATACACACCTCTAACTGGGAAGCTTAACTGCTGTAAGGTTGATGCACTAATACAGTAACCAATTTGGGGCTCAAAGGCGATGGTATCTAGACATTCATTCCAATCTTGTACATTAGTAACAGGACAATCCTGTAGATGGGTGACAAGGTCTCCCACAAAAAGGCCTCTGGGTCCAACGGCAGGTGAGTCCTTGGGAAGAGGGTACAACCAAATCAGATAACGTATGAAGACAAGCTATGATTAATCTGACCAAATAATAAAGACACTGAGCTACTTAGGTACAATATTTTCACTAATGCAAAAAAATAAGCCGGCTTTGAATCCTGGAACATTAACAAAATACCTAACAGTTTTCCTACTTTTCCAAGATTCCGAATTTTTCATTATTGAAAAAAAAAAAAAAACCCACTTGCCAACTATCAAGATTAAAATGATAAAGTTTTTCCCAAACTGTTAATTAAAATTTTTTGTGAAAGTAGTCATCAGAATGCCTTCGTTATCTTGTATACCCTCAGTGGATAAAATTATAAGACAAGTCCTTATCTAAACACACTCCCAAATATGCAGACAATACCATCAGCACAATGAACATGTGAGTCAGGGACTCACAAAGGTAATTTTCCTCTTCCGAAGGTCTGAATAGAAGACTTGATGCCATTGTAGTAATTATTGCCTAAGGCAGTGAAATGAAGAGTTGAAGAAAGTAACTTAAATTCCTATGAAATGTTCTGGCCATCGGTTTCAATCTTTTTACTTAGGACTAAGGACATGTGACTCAAAACCACACTTATAAAAATAAACAGTAAAGGCAAATGATGCATTTTATCAACAAAGTACAGGCAGAAAATCTTGATACTCTCTTTATAACTCAGAACAGAAACAATTTTAAGTAATTTTAAAAAGCCAATGGGCTTCAAAAAACTTTTTGCTCAACTTAAAAGGATTATAGTAATTTCTTCAGGAGAAACTGAACATTCTGTATATGAAAACTTGAATATATGTTCCTAACATAAAATGCTAAGTGTTATACCACGAAGTCTGGTAAATGAACACCCCACAAAATCCTCATTATTTACCTCAGCAACTTCCGTGATAAGCACCCCGACTCCAGTGTAGTAAAATGGCAAGAGAATTACAGGGAGGAGCACAAGAGCTAAAATACCAAGGAGTGCAAGGACGAAATTATGCCAGATACCTGAAAAGAGAGGAAAAATAAAAGGATAAGCTCGACCGGGCACAGGAATGATCTAGGTGTGCGACTTCATAACACCTGGGCATTCTGATAAATTAGTGAAGTAATCAGAAGCAGCTGTGAAGCAGATATATCTACTTTAGTACTAAGGAAAGATGTTCAGTTAGAGGCCTCTTCCATTTCAGATACTGAAATATAAAATGAGCATGTTAATACCACACTGGGAAGACCATATACTAATATGATTTAACATTAGTAGAATCTATATATTCTAATATATATATGTAAAAATATAAAGTGAATTAATATCTTCTACTTGCTTCATCCTCTTTTCAGAAAATGTGTACATTAACTAAAGCATACTTGTGATCTTTGAAAAAAATTTCAAAGCTATTCAAATGAAAGATGAAATTAAAAAACATTCTTGCTGAGCTGGTTTATGTAAATCCAAATGATACTTGGAAAAAGGGAGTGTTTTAAGAATGAATTTGTTATGGAGAATACTATTGATGGACCAAACACAGTAACTTACACCATGTCACAGACTATAACCATATGTACTGTATATACAGAGATTTTCTTTCTTTCCTTTTTTTTTTTTTTAAATACAGAGAAGGTTAAGGTGAACTCAGTGGCGTGCTGGAGGCTGGTCCTACCAGCTGCCACAGCTGACTGTGTACATCTCTTCCTAATTCCTCCTTCAGGGACTTTGGGCTGGCACCTTGAAATTGGCCAAGGCAGGAGTAATTATACCACAGAAACCAGCAAATGCTACATAGGAGAGCTCCTCATTCTCCCCTCCAGAGATAGGGCTTAAACAATCACTACCATATCCACTAGATATCCTTCTCTTCCATACCTAGCCTTTCCTTCTTCTACAGTATTTCTCATGTGGCAGGGTGGGAGCTCTACCGGCACTCTGAACCTCGCAATTCTTTGTACAAGTCTGTCCCTTGCATTACAGGATATTTAGCATTTTTGGCTCCCATCCACTAAATGCCATTAGTAGTCTCTCCTCACTGAGGCAACCAAAGAATGCACCCTATGCCCCACACATTCCAAACATCTCCAGGAGGTAAACAGCACCAGTGGTTGAGAATCAATGTTTTATAACGACAGAGATGTAACCTAAAGTCATTTCCTATACTCACAGGAAGCTGAGTATGGCCACATGCCACTTTGGCTAACAGGATATAAGTGGAGGTGATGGGGACAGCACTATAGCTACATTAGAGCTATGATGGAGATAAACCTGAGTCCATGACATAGAAGCTGCGTGTTGGGAATAGTAGAGCTAACAAGATAGAAAGGGCCCGAGTCCTCCAAATAACAGAATTAACATATCAGTGCTGAACTACCTACATTTGGTAAGTTTTATGAGAGTTCAAGCCATTGTTATTTTTAGCTATTGTAGTACTCAAACACTGGCTAAGATATGTTTCATGTACCTTATTCACACTGTTAAGATGTTCTTCCGCTTTTTTTTTTGAGTGTTATAAGTTGCTTAATTCCAGAAATATCCAGAGTAATTCTAGGCCAGGACACAATGGGTAAACAATCTTTTCTCTTCTATACAGAGAGAAATCTTTTAAATTCACCAATGGTATCAAACTATTTATTGGAAACTATGTTTTGCTTTTCCATGTATGTACTTTGGACTTTCCACTCAGCTGCATATTCATATCTAGCCCATTTCTTAAATCCACTACTTTATTTTCTTATATCCATTATTTTACTAATTTATCAGAATGCCCAGTTCTTATATCCATTACAGAGTAATCCATGTTAAAAAAAACATACTGACTTATTTATAAGGTTCCCTACTAATGATCACTTAGGTTGTTTTAACTTTTTCATACAATGCTGCAACAAATAGCTTTGTTCATATTGTTATGTATCTAATTATGCATCTGTGGGGTTTGGAAAGTTACACAGAAATGGAATTGCTGGGTCAAAAAATGTGCACTGAAATTGACCTCCAGGGCTGCCTGGGTGGCTCAGTCAGTTGAGCACCTTCAGCTCAGGTCCTGATCCCAGGGTCCTGGGAACAAGCCCCACAATGGGCTCCCTGGTCAGTGGAGAGCTTGCTTCTTCCTCTCCTCCCTGCTTGTGCTCTCTCTCTTAATAAAATCTTTTTTTTTAAGATTTTATGTTTGACAGACAGAGATCACAAGTAGGCAGAGAGACAGGCAGAGAGGGAGAGGGAAGCAGGCTCCCTGCTGAGCAGAGAGCCTGATGTGGGGCTCGATCCCAGGATCCTGGGATCGTGACCTGAGCCGAAGGCAGAGGCTTTAATCCAGAGCCACCCAGGCGCCCCAATAAATAAAGTCTTAAAAAACAATTGATCTCCAATGAGTCTGCATTAATGTTCTCATAATTGGCATAGGTTTCCTTACCCTGTAACACTGGATGCTATGATGTTAGATTTTGTCATCTGCTATGTTAGAAGTAAAATCTGTTGTGATTTGTTTAAGCTTATACATTTTCCATGTTTATTAAAGGACTATTTGTATTTCTGTTGAGAACTATTTCTATCCCTCACCTGTTTATATATACATTTTTTTTTACTAATTTGTATATATTATTCCTGAGTGTATATATTGAAGAATTTGGTCCTTTTTAAGACTTTATTTGAGAGAGAGAGACAGAGATAGTGAGAGAGTAAGAGTAAGGCAGATCCTTATCCAGCCAAGCCACCCAGCGCCCCTGAATTTGATCCGTTGTAAGAGGTATTACAATTTTTCTTCCACTTTGTTTTTTGGCTTGGTTTATAGTTTTGCCTATGCAGACATTTTACATTTTGGTGTGGTCAAATTGCTCCTTTGTGTTAAGCCTTTCCCAGTTCAAGATTATAAAGATACTCACCTGGTGTTTTCTTATACTGCTTTCATAGCTTCGTTTAAAAAACAAAATTAAAACTTTTTTTTGCCCACTGGAATCTACTCTAGTGAAACTAATTTAGGCATACAGTTATACTCCCCCCCCCAAATTGCTAGTCCCAGTACAATTTCACAAAATAATCCATCCCCAACACTGATTAATTTGCCACTGTTAACACGTGTTAAATCCAGCTTTCCCCCAACTCCTCGGGATGACAGTCCATGAGCAGACTGTCATGAGAGTTACACTCTCACTATTTCTCCCTTATCAGGATAATTCCACCACACAATCATAGCATAGACCCTAACATCTTCCCATCCAAACAGGGGCGGGGCACAGAGCAGCACTGCTTTCCTGAATCTCCGGGCAGTTTCTTTTCTCTTGTCAGGGATGCAGCTGGTATAACATCACCACGCTAGACTCCAGATTTGCCCATGATGGCTAAGTGGCAATAAGGGTGGTAGAACATACACATTTCCCTTATTTAAACAACCTCTTGTCCATTAATGATTTGTTTGTAAGTATACCAAAGGAATCTTTGTTATAACTTTTACTTTTTCTAGAGCAGAGTTTTTTGACAGTGACACCAGTGGCATTTTAGGCCACATCATTCTATGATGTGGGGAACTATCTTGTGCAACATCCCTAGCCTCTACCCACCCGATACCAGTAGCACCCTCCCCATTTTCTCTGTTTTCTAGCTATGGTATTTATATAGGCACTTTTTTTTTCCTTCTTCAGAAGAAGTATTTTATTTTTGTTTTTTCTATTACACAAGATATACACATCAAGTGTTAAAAAGTCAATATATATACAACATATTCTACAACTGAGCACCACTCTCTAATTGAACATGCAAAGAAATTATACTAAACAGCAGCACCCAGCAGTATTTTGGGGAAATAAAATGACTAAAATAGATTTAAATTGACTAATACTGTTAAGTCACATCTAATTCAAGACCAAGGAAAACAGTGCAGCTAAAAGTTAGCTTTGTGTTAACATCAAAGAATACAACCAAAATTAAGATAGCAAACAAAACCTATGTTGTTTTTTTTTTTAAACAGGAAACTATATACGTAATTGTTGTTTTGCATGCAAAACATTATCAATCTTCAGAAAAAAATACAAAGAATTACCAAACATATTCCTAAAAGTATAAATATGAACATTTGGAAACTACAGAATTTTAAAAACTTGCAAGCAATACATGAGCTTCATATTTTAAAAAACCCTGAAAAGAAGTTCCATTTTTAGAACAGCTGTGTAAAGAACTGTCTTTTGATATGACGTTCACAAATTATCCTCCTATTGGGACCAAACTTTACAAAAACACCATGTATTTCAAATAGCATTACAGAACAAGATACAACATCTTAACCATGTATCTTATATAAAGGAATACTTTTTTAAAATTTTACTTTTCACTTTTACTAGTCTACCAAAACATGACCCTTAAATGTGTAGGAATCATTAAAAAAATTATTTCCTAGAAGCAATACACAAGAGAGGCATATTTATTTGCAATCACACTCCTAGAAGACACCTCCCAAGTTTGAAAAGGGTCTTCTCTTTTTACTGGCTGTTTTTGTTCCTCGCATGTGTTAAGATATGAGATTTCAGGTTAGTTGACTGAGCGAACTTCTTACTACAGCCATCAAAGGGGCACACGTAGGGCCTGTCTCCGGTATGGATTCGTACATGTGTACGCAAATTGAAATCCAGGGAAAAGCGTTTTCCACAGCCTTCAAATGTGCACTGGAAGGGTTTCTCTCCAGTATGCACCAGTTGATGTCGTTTTAGTTTTGAGCTCTCGACAAAAGCTTTGCCACATTCTGCACATACGTGGACTCGAGGACCGTGAGTGTGCAGATGTTTCCGCATAGCAGAGTTATCCTTGAACATCTTCACACAGCCTTTATGAGGGCAAGCTATGGTTCTTGGCGCATCTTCTTTGGGTTTTCTTGGCTTCATTCTAGTAAATTCTGCCAGTTGTTTAGGATCTGAGAGATCAATACCAGGTAATCCTTCGGGAGGAAGCTTCTTCCCCGTCATGTACTCTGAATAATCAGGAGCTGAGTTCTCTATCTGTCCTGTCTCATCATCTTTCTTCTCGCTCGGGGACCACATGGTGACGGAGAACTCACCCTCCAGAGTTTTTATCTGCACCTGCTTCTGCTCCCATTTCTTGGCGCCCATCTCGGAGTTGCTACTTCCCGCCCGTGGCTCACTGGTCGTGTAATTTTTCTTACCGCTGGCCTTCTTGCTTTGGCTGTTGCGCTTCTTGCTGCGGGTGTGGGTTGATGATGCGGAGGCAGACAAGGAAGCCAGGGTCTGCTGGAAGCATTCATCTTCATCAACCGGAAGGACCATCTGGTCCTCGAAACTGCTGTGGGCCTGCAGGTTGTCCGACTCGTAGTAGCCCACCACTTCCTCCTGTGTCTGCACCATGATTATATCCTGGTCGTGGTCCCCTTGGTTCGGGGTGTTGGTAAAGAGTGGCTGCAGCGCGATCAGAGGTGGATGGTGGTGGCCACCGTGGACCCAATTGCCGCTGATAATCTCGTACTCTGCGATGGTTTCCATCGCCATAGCCTCCACAGGGATGGTCTCTAAAGGAATGGTCTCCAGCACGGGTATGGTCTCCACAGGGATGGTCTCCATGGGGATGGACGCCACAGGGACAGTCTCTACTGGGGCGCTCTCCTCCACATGGATCTGGTGCAGCTCCACAATATCTGTAAGTAACTCCGAACTTTCCGTGGAGATGTAGAGGGTGTCGTTTGAAGCCATGGCTGGGAGCTCCACGAAGGCTCTGGTTCCCGGGCAGCTGGAAGGCTGTGTTAAAGGCTGACAGAAAAGCGAGCGCTCCAGAGGAAAGCACAAGCTCCAGAGGAAAGCGCAAGCGCCAGACGCAGGTGTGTGCGGTTAAGCGCGAAGACGCTGAAGTCTCGGAAGACTAGGCAGGAGTGGAAGATGCGCGGGGGACTCCGCTGAAGCCGCTGAAGATTCGCAAGACGCGGAAAGAGTGGAAGACCCTTGAAGGACTCCGCTGAAGCCGCTAAAGATTCGAAAGATGCGGAAGGAGTGGAAGACGCGCGGCAGACTGCGCTAAAGCCGCCGAGGACTGCGCTAAAGCCGCCGAGGACTCGGAAGACGCGAGTGCTTCTGGGAGCGCCAGGCGCATGCGCTTCCCGCTACCTCAACAAGCGCGTGCTTACGTTCACACTCACGCGCTCGTGGACGCTCCAGTCCTCCTGAACACGTCACCCTCCCCTCCCCACTCCGAACGCCTCGCTATTGTTTTTTGACTATTAATTCAGTAGCCAGGTTCTTCACTGAATTTTTCTCTTTTCTGTTGATTTTCCCTTTTCGTCCCCCCACCAAAGTATGTAATAGTACCTGAAAAAAAGGCTTACATTATTTTTGCTTCTTCGCTCTTACTGTACTGACCCACATTTAGGGACCCATTTCATAGTGTCAGTGATAATCGATAATGGGACTGCTTGTCTTGTCCTTTAAAAGGAATGCTTGTTAGTGTTACGTCATTAGGAAGTATCCGGCTATTTTTATTTCTACTAAGGAATTTTTTTTTTTTTTGCCATTAATGGATGGTAAATTCTGTTAAATACCGAGTCCGATATCGGCTGAGATGAGGATTTGTTTTTTCCCCTAATGGTAAATAAAGCTTAACAGTTTCAAATAGATTTCCTATTGTTGAACCATACTTGTGTTGTTTAGAGACACCCTATGTAGTTTTTGTTACTTTACAGGATGTATCAGTGTTCTATTAGCCTAATTTAAAAAAAAAAATTTCCTTCTCCATGCGATACGGAAAATTTATACTGAATTGGAATTAAATAAAAAGCCAACTTTCCTTGACGACTGGAAAGAATTATTCTTCATCAACTTTCTTAACTTCTCCCGTTGTAATTAATTAGCCTATTTAGATTTTTTTTCTATGTTCTCTGGAGTTTACACCATTTATACTTTTAAATAACTATCCAAGTTTTAGAAAATTTTTTGCAGAGATGAACAAAGAACAATTTTCTAATTGTTTTAATTTTTTCTGTATCAGTTATCATTCCCCAATCTGGCCGCAAATTCTGTCTATACTGCTTTTTACCATGTTTACTCCTTTTTTTCTTCAAAAAGCCTCTTGGACTTAAGTTCTTTTTTTCCTAATTTATAATTTTCTACCTACATCCTTATTAATTACATTGCTTCTTAACTATTTTATAGTTCTTTTCTTACTTCTTCAGTTGAATGCTTAACTTATTTTCATTTCTTATTTCATAACTGCATAAGGCAGTGAATTTTTCTTTCAGCAAACCTTTACAACTTACGTCATTATCATTTTTAAATATACTGCAATTATGTTTTGAATTAAATTTGCCAATTTTCATGTTTCATGGTCACTTGAAAAGAAACTGTGTTGATATATAGTTTGATATATTTATTGAATTTTACTTTACTAATTTGAGTTTTGATGATCTGACTTTTCATACTTTTTGGCCATGTACTGAGAGACGAGATGAGCTTCCTTTATTACGTTTTTGTTTTTTCCTTGCACTTGCACCTTTTTCATTTTTGTTTTGCTGGTTTGTTACTTGATGCAGTGAGTTCACAATGATTACATTTTCACTGTGGATTACACACCTTTTGATTATTAAGTCACCCCCTATGTCTAACTAACTTAATGTAGATATAGTTCCTGTTCACATTTGTATGGTATATCCTGTTCATTTTACTTTCAACCTTTTAAAAATTGTTGTTTTTGAAGATACTGGAATGTAAATTATTTTGCTTTATTACTTAAGAAAAATAAAATTTAAGTAATCTCTGTACCCAACAGGGGGCTCGAATTCACAACCCTGAGCTCAAGAGTCACATGCTTCTCAGACTGAGTCAGCCTGGAGCCCCTTGTTTTGTTACTTTTAACTGAGAATCTTATAAACTGAATTATCAACCAAAAGGTGAGATGTTTTCATTTGTGATGTGAATACTTTCTATAATGATACACATATGAATAAAGAAAGTTAAGTCTGTTACCTGCACAGAATATCCTTAGTTGCTGGACTGGTGATATAAGTTGCAAATGAGTAGTGAACAGATCAACAAATGCTCCAGGATAAATAACGAAGAGAAAAATCCCAAAGCCATTAAATCGAACTTGTTCCCTAAGAAATCATAAAGAAAAAGGAATTTACTACTAGTATTGCAGTTTTCAAATTAATAATGTATTTAATCTTAAAACTTGCCACTGTGATTTAAATTCTTGCTTAACAAGTCTCTCTGGACAATTGAGAAAAATAAACTCATATATGATGTATATTTATCTTATAATTTTACAATAGTGTATGGGTTTGATTATCTATGAAACTGCATTATGTAAAACAAGGGCATTCTGAAATAGGCTTAAAACTTTAAAACTTTTTGAAACCAATAGGCTGAGCAAGTAACTTGAAATTAGTCACGTATATAAAGAAATGGTTAATATTTCTGTGAGAAACTAAATGAAAAACATTTTTATGGTTTACTCTGAATTATTTTCAGAGGACACAAAAAATATAATTCAAGTAAAGAATCTATATTTGTTTTAGCTATTATTAATAAAAGTGTAGGTTTATCTAAGTGTATTCCTGAATTATTGTTAATTCATAATGTTAATTCATAATGCATAATGCTCAGATTGTTCTTAAGAGGACTATTTTTATCAATTCATTCTCTAAAAATGGAATTACTTCTAATAGACTCATAAGTCCAAACAGCTACGCTAAAAAAAGAAATTCCCCAAATATATTGTGCTGTCACTTAGTACTGATTGACTTTCACTTGTCAGTTGGATTTTATAAGATTACTCTCACTGTTTCACAAACATACATTGAAGTATTAAACTGTTAATAACAATGATTTTATATGCAAAACCCTAAAAGCTGCAATGCTAAAAATATGGAAGCAAAGGAGAGAGATAAAAAAAAATAGCCTCCTACTTAAACCACTATATGTCACACTTGTGTAACAGTATATGCTCTGTCAAGATGAAAGTTTATTGGCAGCCAACAGACTCGTGTTCATAAGCAATGGGAAAGTAGTAAGAAGAAATTACATCTTCTTCTATAAAATCTTTTATCTGGTGCACACACCCAGGGGATAAAACACATTCCCATCAGTATGTGTGTTCATCATGGCAGTAATTATCAGAGGGAGTGAAGGGGGCACTGTGCTTCTCTATCACAACTTTATAAGTGTAGGAGCCTTTAAAATGCTCAGGTATAATTACAATGATATATTTGCGTAGCGAAGACAAGAACATGGTATGATACTTGAGCAAGTTCCAGGTCTCATCCTCTCTTATCTTCTACTTGGGTTTCTAGACAGGCTATGATATTTGTTAACAATCCCAGAGCTTTCAGTGTTCTTGCTTTGGCCAGCAGAGGCTGTTGAGTAGAAGCAGGAAAGCGTTTCAGCCAGTAAGTCAAACAAAGTACTAAGAAGGCAGGCAGGTGGGCTCAAGTTTAGCAGTTACCATTCTAACCTAATGATAAGTACAAAGATTAGGTTTCAGTTTGAGGAGTTCTTTATAGATCTTGGATATCAGCCCTTTGCCTAACATGAACAGACACTTCTCCAGTGAAGGCATACAAACGGCTACCAGACACATGAAAAAATGTTCATCATCACTAGCCATCAGGGAAATTCAAATCAAAAACACAGTGAGATACCACCTTACACTAGTTAGAATGGCCAAAATTAACAATACAGTAAACAACATGTGTTGGAGAGGATGTGGAGAAAGGGGAACCCTCTTCACGGCGGGTAGGAATGCAAGTTGGTGCAGCCACTTTGGAAAATAGTGTGGAGATTCCTTAAGAAATTAAAAATAGAGCTACCCTATGACCCTGCAATTGCACTGCTGGGTATTTACCCCAAAGATACAGATGTAGTGAAAAGAAGGGCCATCTGTACTCCAGTGTTCATAGCAGCAATGGCCATAGTTGCCAAACTATGGAAAGAACTAAGATGCCTTTCAATGGACGAATGGATAAAGATGTGGTCCATATATACTATGGAGTATTATGCCTCCATCAGAAAGGATGAATACCCAACTTTTGTATCAACATGGATGGGACTGGAAGATATTATGCTGAGTGAAATAAGTCAAGAAGAGAGAGTCAATTATCATATGGTTTTGCTTATTTGTGGAGCACAAGGAATAACACGGAGGACATGGGGAGATGGAGAGAAGGAAGTTGGGGGAAATTGGAGAGGGAGACAAACCATGAAAGACTGTGGACTCTGAGGAACTGAGTGTTTTGGAGGGGAGGAGGGTGGGAGGTTGGGTGAGCCTGGTGGTGGGTATTGTGGAGGGGACGTATTGCATGGAGCACTGGGTGTGGTGCAATAAACAATGAATTCTGAAACACTGAAAAGAAATTTAAAAAATAAATAAAAATTAAAAAAAAAAGATTGGGTTTCAGGGTTTGATGAAAATCTTGAAGCACCATGAAGATATAAGAAGGCTGGCAAAGGATAGAAAGACCTAGATTATAGATGTGCATAGTTAACTGAGTATTCATCAATATATTAATCTTTATAAAAGAGTAGGTACCTCAAAATAATGTGGATCTGCACTGGGCAATATTCACAGAAAGAAAAAAAGACTATCAAATGTAGCAGATTTTTGTAATAAACCCTCCTAAATAAAAAGTTATTACATGTAGTAGAAAGAAAAATATCATTACCTAATAGCGGCTATCCCATGTCCAATTTCATGTACAACACCACTAATGAGAACTGCAGCGAAGAAATAGGTCAGTTGGTTGACAGGTAAATTTATACCGGGAACCTGTTCACAGACACAATGATAACACATGTGGGCACAAAGAAACCACGATGTTCACTCCGTGTTAAAGCTTAAACTTCCAGGCTGAAGGTTTTGTAAACTAAAAGTAGGGGTGCCAGTTGGTTAAGCATCTGACTCTTGGTTTCAGCTCAGGTCATGATCTCAGGGTCATGAGATCAAGTCCCACCTCGAGCCCCATTTCAAGCTCAGTGCTCAGCACCGAATCTGCTGGAGATCCCCCCGCAACCCCCACCCTGGCTTGTGCTCTCTTTCTCAAGAGTAATTTTTTTTAAAAGTAAGTAATATGACTATCAGTGGTTACTTCTCTACTTCTATCATAATAAAAGTAAAAACATCAGTTTTTTCGAACGAGGCAGTTTTTGAATTAAGCACAACACCAATCTAAAGATAACAGTGAACACCAGGTTAAAAAGTCAAAACTTTCATGTCCTGAAGTCTTCACCATGGGAAAGAATTAGGAAGCCAGGCAAAGTGCCAGGGAATGCGGAGTGACAGCGACAGAGTCAGCAACTGTTCTACCCTCAGGAGCTAGAAGCCTGATTTGGAAATTCTTTTTTTTTTAATATATTTTTTTATTATTTTATTTTTTATAAACATATATTTTTATCCCCAGGGGTACAGGTCTGTGAGTCGCCAGGTTAACACACTTCACAGCACTCACCATAGCACATACCCTCCCCAATATCCATAACCCCACCCCCCCTCTCCCAACCCCCTTCCCCCATCAACCCTCAGTTTGTTTTGTGAGATTAAGAGTCACTTATGGTTTGTCTCCCTCCCAATCCCATCTTGTTTCATTTACTCTTCTCCTACCCCCTGATTTGGAAATTCTTGTTACAATTCCTAGTCCTTTCTCTGAATTTTTATTGCAAGGTTCCAAGTACTTAAGTGAGTAATATAGGATATTCCTGCCTCCCATCAATGAGTTTTCATTTTAGTATTCTCAAATTACATGAGCACTGGTAATCAGGGTAGTGTAATCAAGTGCCTCACCGGTGTGGGAGTGGGAGCACCCTGCCCTCCATTTCTTTGATGCCAACAATTTGTCTAGTACATTGGTCAGAAAAATATATCAAAATGATACATAAAATTATTATATTAACATTCAATGCAGGAAGGAAGTCCTTTGGAGCGTACAGACATACCAAGGACTTACGAAGCAGCAGAACTTGTCTGCAAGCACATGCTCCTAAGATGTGCATGTGCATGTACGTATCACTGAATACACAAAGCAAGTTTGCTGTTGTAAGTGTTGTATGGTATAGTTTTTTAGATACCCAAGAATCATCTTGTCAGGTAAGTAACCACTCCCAAGTTATGTCATCTGTTAAGGAAAAATGCCATATATTAGGTTAAGTGGGACACACCATGCATTTAATATTCTTCACACACTGAGCATCTGTTTCTCATAGTCCAGGAGCTGGACCCTAAAAATATCCTTCTAGAGGAAATTCCTCCTCTGTCTTATTATTACTTTAATTATAAAATGTGTTTAAAGCAGGAAAACAGGAAAATTCGAAGAAAAACAGAAGCCTATAATGCTGCTCCCAAAACACAAAACAAAAAACCATTCTCAATGTTTTAATTTATGTCCTTCTAGTCTTTTCATATATATATATATATGCATTTTTAAAAATTATCCTTTTATTACACCTCTGGTTTTGAAAACTGCCCTTTCACTTAATGATATCATCAACATTTTTCCATGAGTGTTTTCTGGTTCAACGTGATTTTCAATAGCTGTATTGTATTCTATAAAATAGACTGTTAGGCATTTAATCATTTTAAAAAGTTTCTCCTCTTATAAATATTGTGATGAACATATTTGGGCACATATATTAAAATATTCTGGGTGAATAAATTCTTAGACAAGCATGGTTGGTTCAGGTTCTGGAGACATGTCAATTGGGTTTGACATTCTGGATCCATCTCTAACTAGCTAAAGTGACCTTAAGGAAGTTTGGATTATTACCCCCAACATTGCAATTTCTTCACTATTAAAATGGAAATAACCACACTTACATAAAGGGTAATTCTGAGGATTATATAAGAATCCTTGGGGTGCCTGGGTGGCTCAGTGGGTTAAGGCTCTTGCCTTTGGCTCAGGTCATGATCCCAGGGTCCTGGGATTAAGCCCCACATTAGGCTCTCTCTCAGCAGGGAGCCTGCTTCCCCACCCTCACGCTGTCTCTCTGCCTGCCTCTGCCTACTTGTGATCTCTCTGTCAAATAAATAAATAAAATCTAAAAAAAAATCCTTGCCCCATGTTTAATATTATGTGGGTAATAAATGCTGTCATTACACAAAATTTAAAGGACTTTGATACATATCAAACTGTTCTCCAGAAGCAGACCCTTCCATAACCTTGGGCAAAGTTGTATTATTCAAGTCTTTCAAATCTGCAATTTGAGGGATATAAAAAGTATCTCATTGTTTGATTTATATTTCTTTGATGATTATTAAAGCTCAGTTTTCCCCCTGCTTCTGACCATTGACAGGTCTTTTGTGAGCAGTCTACTCATGACTTATTATTTTTTTCTCCTAGAGTATTCTTTTGTTCTTATTGCTGTGGAAGATCACTTCGAGTATCAATGATCAGTCCTCTGTAATATATATCACAGATGCATCCCTAAGTTCTTCTGATTTTAATTTTACTTTTAGTTTTTTGATATATAAAAATTTTTATGTCATCAAATCTATCAATATTCATGGTTTGTGCCATTAGTGTTATGCTTATGACATCCTAATTCTGTGTTCATATAGCAGAAGCCTGTTTTTTATCTTTTGATTTCTTATGATTTTGTGTTTCAATTTTAATATAATTGAAATTTATTTTTGTGCACAGAGGAGTTTTACTTTTAAGTCTCCTTTAGTGACTGAAGAGGAGATTCAAACCATGTTGCTTGGATCACTTTCTTTCTTTTTTTTTTTTTAAAGATTTATTTATTTGACAGACAGAGATCACAAGCAGGCAGAGAGGCAGGCAGAGAGAGAGGGAAAGCAGGCTCCCCGCCGAGCAGAGAGCCTGATGTGGGGCTCGATCCCAGGACCCTGAGATCATGACCTGAGCCAAAGGCAGAGGGTTAACCCACTGAGCCACCCAGGTACACCGCTTGGATCACTTTCTAAATTCATTAATTGCAAGTGTCTTTCCCTAGTTATGAAACTAGTTTTCATAACCTTCATTTTTAATGTATGTGTAATATTTCACTGTATGACAATCCCATAACTTAAGCATTCCTCAATTATACACTGTGGTTGTGTCTAATTCTTCATAATAATAAGTAATGTTAAGGTAAAATTTTGAAGAATACTTTTTTTGCATATTTGGAAGTATTTCCTTAAAACTAGAGTCCTAGATGTGGAAATAAATGGTCAAAAAATATGAGTATTTTTATGATGCTCATTATCTGAAGCTCTCTTTACTCAGCCCCTACAAAGCAACTCTTTCTAAGAATATCAGGGTATGCTCTTCTTCATACCTGCTCCGTTTCCATGTTGTCAGGGGTCTTCTGCCTGTTCAGATCACTAGTTTCCTTTTCTCTGACTTCTCTTCTAAATTTACGTACTTAAGATTAATTTTTTAAAAAGATTTATTTATTCATTTATTTATTTATTTGACAGACAGAGATCACAAGTAGGCAGAGAGGCAGGCAGAGAGAGAGGAGGAAACGGGCTCCCCGCTGATCAGGGAGCCTGATGCGGGGCTCGACCGTAGGACCCTGAGATCATGATCTGAGCTGAAGGCAGAAGCTTAACCCACTGAGCCACCCATGCACCCCAAGATTAATTCTTATACATTCTCTCTATATCACAAAGTATCTATCTTATTTTACCTTCATTTCAAATACATTAGTAGGCTTGATTCAATAGGATATTGGTTCCTTTGCTTTATTATTGTTTTTAAATGATTTTATTTATTTCAGAGTGTGTGCATGAGAGAGAGAGAGAGACCACGAGCAGGGGGAGGGACAGAGGAAGAGGGAGAGAGAAATCACAAGCAGACTCCATGCTGAGCGCACTGCCTGACACAGGGCTTGATCTCATAACCCTGAGATCATGACCTGAGTCGAAATCAAGAGTTGGATGCTTAACCAATTGAGCCACCCAGGCACCCCTTTTGCTTTATTATTTTATGGATGTAATGATGAGATAAGGTAAGGATTTGAGTGTGTGACTACACTAACAGATGGTAGGTCTTATTTGCTGGCAACAATATGTGAACGCCCATCTGTCATGGCCACGATCACACAGGGTATTAGATGTACCAAAATTCTGATCTCTCAATGACACACAGTGCCAGGTTTTTGGGAATTAATACTGAATGAGGCTGTAGGGAATTATAATGTAAACAGAAAGTGCATTCTCTGAGCTACAAGAACTCTAACCAAAACCAGGAGACCTAACATTCTTAAATGTATACATAAATATGCACAGTGGACTACAGAGGACAGCTGACTTTTTCATGGTTCCACAGCATGACTCTTGTAACATAGTAGTTTTGTCAACTCTCTGAATAAACTGAGAAGCAGAAAGAAGAAATAATAACAACACTTTGTTATTCTAACCCTAGCGGGCAGACAGGTGAATGATCACATTTCCTCTCAACCTGCTTCTTTTCCTACTCTCCTCTTCTTTAGCACACAACAACCAATTGTGTAGCCTGAGAGTTTAGGATGACTCCAGCCTCACTGAGCCAGCCAGATGCCCCCCAAAATAAAAACTTCTTAGAATGGTCTTTCATAACCCAGACCCTATCTGTATTTCCCATCTTATCTTCTACACCATATGCCATACACCATATACCACCTAGACATAGGTGAAAGTTACTTTCTAGTTCCTTGAAGAATTACTGGTCTTTCTTTAGGGAGTAGAGCATAATGGCTCTGAGGTCAGTGGTGGGTCCACCATTTACAAGCTGCGACTATAGGCAAGTAAGTGGCTTGACATCTGTATTCCTTGGTTTTCTCATCTGTGATCAGATACTTATCTCTAGATTGTTATAAGAATAAAATAAAACGGAAAAAAAGAGAATAAAATGGGCACAAAAACCTCACACAGGAAGCACTGTATATTACCTAGGTTTTATTATTATTCTACTATTCCTCCCTCCCTAATGGGGAACACTTTACATAGGGTTAAAATGCAATTTATTTATATGGTATAGAGATCTTAAATAGGCAAATATGTTTCTCTCTGTTACCGGGATCTCAACTGCCATCTTTCCTTAGAGGCTGTGGGGACTTTTCTCATCCTTCCCTTGAAGGTCTCCTCTCCTCTCTTCCCAGTGCCAGGGACATCTCAGCATGCATTTTCTCTGTACCATAGTACCTGGTACTCTGTGAACTGTAGCACAATCACAGCAGCTGTCCCTCTAGACTAACAGCTCCATGAGTGCTAGGATTGGATTTTGTTCCCAATGTAAGCAGGACTCAGCATAGGGGCACTAGGCAGACTACATTCAGTAAATGTTGAAGAAATAAATCATCTCTTCTGAGGCCTCACCTAGCAAATCCTTTGAACCTCTAAAACAGAGCTATGACCGTAGGTGAGATTCATTATCATTCTCTACAAATGACTTCTAAATCTACCCATAGTGGCCCAGCCTAGTAGAAACCACAAAAAGAAGAGTTTAAAAAAATTGGTAACTAGCTCTTAAATCATTTATTCCATTAATAAAAGCATGATAAAGAACATAACACCCATGAGTCCTGGAAATAAAAACATATATGTAAAAAAATCTGAAATAAAAGTTACTCAGTGGTAAAGCACCCTTCCACACTCCGGAGACATGCATAAGTAAGGTATACAGGTTTATACGTGTGCTATCAAGTGAGAATTATTATAAATAGCTTATAGTCAAAGGAGTCATATTCGGCATATTCTTCCCATCAGGAAATCACAGTGACCATTCAAGGTCTTTTATCTTTAAATAAAAGGATATTACTGGTTAGAGTCTGAAAGCCATGAAGAGGAGAGGGCTAAAATGCAATTTATTTATTCAGTATAGAGATCTTAAATACGCCAGCTCATTTCTTGATAGAAACAGTCATTTAAGACCTCAAGAAGACAACATGAATTAAATCAAGTATCTGTGTAACTGCTGACAGTCTTGATGGTGGGGCATTTGTTGCATCGCTACTGCTACCACTACTACTACTGCTACCACATATTCCAACAGATCCTTGCTAGATTCCCATTAATATTTTTGTTTAAGCAGGCAGTTCGAGAAATCGTGAGACTTTTCATCTATTTCCATATTTACAACATGGAGAGGAGTTATGCTAGCTAGAAAAAATACCTTATATTTGCGTTGCGATAAACTTTAAAAGCCAAAACAAGGCACTTACCACAACTTGGAGCACTTGCTCATTGTGAAGTGAGGAGGAGGAGGAAGCGGATGAAGAGGAAGATGACGAAGAGGAAGAAGCAGAAGAAGAGGAGGAAGAAGAAGAGGAAGAGGAAGAAGAGGGAGAGTCAGCCATCATTTGTGCCAAAGTCTGCATCAGCGTTTTTCCGAGGAGGAAAAAAGAGCTGAACATGGCAATTACACCAAACACCATTCCAAAATTGAACCTGTTGGGAGGAAACAAAATCACATAAACATACAATTCCATATAATTCATGGGTTAACAAATTAATCGACAAGCCACATTTCACAGCTTCAAAACAATGGCTAAAAATTTCGCTACATCTGCCTCGTTTTCTTACCTGAATTTTAGGCATGTGACTGAGGCACAGGCATGAATCTCTCCAAGCAATTGTAATAATTTATAATTCTCTCACAACTGAAGAGGATGAATATTCTTCCCAATAAAAAGCTTCTTTCCTCTCATGTCTTTCGCCCATTTACAAAGAATCGTTTTGATCTTGTTCTCATATAATTATGAAAGCTCTTTTGACATTGTAGACATTCGTATCTTTTTTCCTCTACCAATTCTTTTGTTTGCATTTTTTTAGCTATATTTTGTGATGAGCTCAAATATTAACATGGTAAAATTGAACAAGTTTCCTTCTACTGTTTTAATAATTACAAATTACCCTTCTATAATTGGGAATAATCTATTACATTTTTTAACTTTTATAAGTTTTTTAAGAAACTCATCTGTTTCATCTAAATTATCAAATTTATAGGCACAGAACTGTTCACAATAGTTTCATTTTTTAAAAAGTCTATGGAATAGGCAGTAATGTGCCTTTTTCGCAATTTTGATTTTTTTAAAGTGAAGTGCAATGAACATAATACTGTATTAGTTTCAGTTATACAACATACTGATTCTATACAATATTCAATACTCATCATGCTAAGTGTAGTCACCATTCTATATCATTACATTATTATTGACTATATTCCCTATGCTTTTTTTTTAAAGATTTTATTTATTTATTTGACAGAGAGACAGAGAGAGAGAGATCACAAGTAGGCAGAGAGGCAGGCAGAGAGAAGGGGAAGCAGGCTCACTGCTAAGCAGAGAGCCCGATGCGGGGCTCGATCCCAGGACCCTGAGATCATGACCTGAGCCGAAGGCAGAGGCTTAACCCACTGAGCCACCCAGGCGCCCCTTCCCTATGCTTTTCATCTCTGTGACTTACTTTGTAACTGACAATCTGCACCTCTCAATCCTCTTTATTTATTTCAGCCATTCCCCTGCCTACCTCCTGTGGTAACTAACAGTTTGTTCTCTGTATTTAAGAGTCTGCTTAGTTTTTGTTTGGCTGTTCTTTTGTTTTGTTTTTGCATTCCACATATAAGTGGAATCATACACTATTTGTCTTTCCCTAACTTAGAATAATACCCTCTAGGTCCACCCATGTTGTTGCAAATGGCAAGATCTCATTCTTTTTTATGGCTAATATTCCATTGTGTATATATACCACATCCTCTTTACCCATTCATCTTTCTTTAAAAAGTTTTATTTATTTATTCGAGAGAGAGAGAGAGAGAGAGAACAAGAGAGTGAGTGGGGGGACAGGCAAAGGGAAAGAAGCCTCGAGCAGACTCCCTGCCAAGCGCAGAGCCTGACATAGCCCACCATCAGTGAGATCATTACCTGGGCCGGAACCAAGAGTAGGATGATCAACTGACTATTCATCTTTTTTTTTTAAAGCTTTTGTTATTTTTTATTTATTTTGGGGGGGGGGTAAAGGTGAGGGGGTGGAAAGAAACAGAAGGAGGAGAGACAGAGTCTTAAGCAGGCTCCACACCCAGTGCACAGCCTGACACAAGGCTCGAACTCACAACCCTGAGATCACGACCTGAGCTGAAACCAAGAGTCGGACACTTAATTAACTAGGACACCCAGGCACCCCTCCATTCATCTATTGATGGACACCTGGGCTACTTCTAGTCACAGCTATTATAAATAACGCTCCAATAAACACAGGGGTGCATCTATCTTTTTTGAATTAGTATTTTTGTTTCCTTTGGGTAAATATCCAGTAGTGGAATTACTGGATCATATGGTATTTAAAAACAATTTTTTTTAAATTGACGTGTAGTTGGCACACAATGTTACATTAGTTTCAGTGTACAACACAGTGATTCAACAAGTTTATACATTACGCTGTGTTCACTATAAGTGTAGCTACCATTTGGTGGTAATTTAGTTCATTTTTTTTGACAAACCTCCATATTGTTTTCCACAGTGGTTGCACCATTTATATTACCAACAACAGTGCACTAGGGTTCCCTTTTCTCTGCATCCTAGCTACTTTTTATCTTTTTGATACTAACCATTCAATTCTGATTTTTAGTTACCTGTGTTTTCTTCTTGATAATTATGGAAGGGGTTTATTGGTTTTATCAATCTTTTCAAAGAACCAACACTTGGGCTTTGCTGATTTTCTTTCTGTATTTTTATTGCACTGATTTCTGCTCTTTATTATTTTCTTCTTTCTATCTTGTTTGATCTGCTATTGCATTTTTTTGCTTTTTAATGATTTTTTTACATTTAGCTCTATTCCAGTTGGAGCTAAATTTCTAGTAAAAAGGAATTTAGACAAAGGCCTCCTATGCCCACACTAGAAATTCTGCCAACTATAAAACGTGTCAGTCTCTACGGTGTCCAAGAGATCTTTATAAACCTCTTAACAATAAACACTATATGCTCCTTGATTGAAGAAATTTGTTAAAATAAAGGGGTATGCCTGGCATGGCCAGGGGACTTCAAAACCCTGCTGCTACAATCTGGCAGGCCATTTTCCCAGTTGGTGTGTGTATATGCCTTACTGGTTGTGACATATTTTAAGTATCATTCCCCTGGAGGGGGATCACAAAAGTACAGGAAAAAGCCTGCAGACTTTTGGATATTCTATGACTCCCAGGACCTTCGATTCTATGTGTGATGAAAGGGGACAGAATTCTACAGAATTAGTTTCCTGATGGAAAGTGCTTTTTTGTATTTCTCTTCTTCGTTTTCGCATTTCTAGTAGTGTATAACTTACACAGTAAAGTACCCAAGTCTCAAATACACAGCTCACAGAATTTTTACATGTGTACCCATGCATCTACTACCCAGATCAAGATACAGAACCTTGATTTTTGATGTATGCAAAAGTACAATGATGTAATCTCCTAAGTTCATATAAAACCAGAAAAGTTTTATACTACTGACATTTTAAAACTCAGTAGGTTGGAAAATAATGGAAATAGTTCATTTAACAAGCATTTCTCATGACTATAATGACTGATTTAAGCCAAAAAAAGAAAATGAAGAATACCACTGGTAAAGCATCCTTGCTTTCCGCCGTCCCCAACTGTAAAAGGCACGATTGAAAATAGCAGTTTGCCATCTTATGTGAAAAGGGGAGATGCTCAGTCCGTTGTTTTCCAGCCAGTCTTCATAGGAATGTTTAAAATACACAGATGACTAGGAGAGAAAGAAAAGTTCCATATCACTCAGTTTTGAAGAACATGTATGAAGTTTAAGAAAATTAAAAACAATCTTTTCTATAGGAAAACAAGATATTGACTGTCCAAATACTTATAAATTAAAAGCTTTATGTTTATTCTTCAGGATATTAAGGGTCTCAGACTAGCTGGTCTGTTGAGGTCAGGGTCTGGCAAACTATGGTCCATGGGCTAAATGTGGCCCACAACCTGTTTTTCTTTTCAAGTAAACTCTATGCTCAGTGTGGGGCTCGAACTCACGACCCCTGAGATCAAGTCACAAGTACTATCGACTGAGACAGCCAAAGCCACAAAATACAGCCTGTGAGCTAAGGATGGTTTTTACATTTTCAAGGGATTGTTAAAAAAAAAAAGACAACAAAAAAACAAGAATATGTGACAGAGATGCTATGTGGCTCACAAAAGCCTAAAATACGTATCACGTGGCCCTTTACAGAAAAAGTTTGCTGAACTCTGCTTAGAGGAGCATTGTCCAATAGAAACATGAGCCACAAATGCAAGCCAGATATGTAATTTTAAATTTCTGAATTTTAAAAAGTAAACAGAAGCAGATTAAATATATTTTTAAACTAAAAATATCTAAGATATTATCATTTCAACATGTAATAAATAAAACAAACTACTAGAATACTTTACATTCCATCTACTTATTTGTACGTAAGTCTTTGAATCCAGTGTCAGTGTTACTGCAAATTTCAATTTGGACTAGTGCCATTTCAGATGCTCCATGACCATGTAGTTAGTGGCTACCACACTGGACAGCAGAGTTCTAGAAGCCTTGTTACAACAAAAAGAGATCTTGTATTATAATTTAAGAAGACCCCAACCAATCCAACACAGGGAACAAGTTAGTTGGAATCAGCGCTTTTTATCCTCTTATGAGCAACAACCCTAAGAAATTAGGCTGCCTTTGATCATATAAAAGTACAAAACCTACATAAAGCCATCTTGGGCCTTGTAACTTACATTTTTCAGGGTTGAAGGGATCTGCTTATACACAGACTAACAAGAGTTTTATCTTTAGGGAAGTCTGAAGTCCTTGAGTAATGTAGGATTTCGAATAACATAAGGTTGTTTTATATATCCTGACACTGACCCCTATTACTCCTCAGTTACAGTAAGTTAAGTATTTTGTCATACTGATGCCCACCCATTTGAAAAATTTGCCTCTAGAAGGATACCTCAGCCCTACCAGTCATAAGAAATGACCTAACCGAATACAGGTATCTGTTCGCCTTTCGATCCGTTAATGTTCTCTGTTCTCAGTCTTCAGGTGAAGTTTTTAAAAATTTGCTTGTTTTCCAGGACTTGGGAAAGTAGAGCGACACACTCCTTCAGTATATGTCTACTGAGGAAATCCGAGACGAACCAACCGTGGAACAGCAGACCAAGCTGGAAGCAGAGGAGCTGAAGGTGTGCAGACTCCTGAAATTGAGGTCTCTCCATTCCCCAGGCAGATATTCTGAGTGAGAGTTAGGTTTTTTGCTCAAGGGGTAGTGCTCTGTTGGGGACCTAGGGGTTATTACTGTAAGTGAAGTAACCTGATCACCTCACACACTGGACCAGAGACTGCAGAGGTTTGAAAAGTTCTTTTTATTTCGGATTTTTGTCACATATGCAACATGAAGAAATCACGTGGCTTTGTTTTTTCTAAACAACAGAATCCCTGTTTAAAGAAGCAGTGGCTGGTATCGCTATGATATGCTAAACACTATGCCAAGTACTTGGAGAGGAAGTGCCTGAGGATCTTGTAAATACACAGATTCTGATTCTGTAGGTCGAGATTCTACGTTGCTGACGAGTTCCCAGATAAAGTGCTGCTGGTCCTTGAATTTCAGGTTGAGTAGCAAAGCCTTATGTGCACGAACTAATGTACTTCTCTCTACAATCTCAGAAGATCCTCACTATTATTAACTCCATTTTGAAGATGAAGAAACCCAGGCACAGAGAGTAATTTGGTCAAGGTCACAAAGGGTGGGAAGTGGCTGAACCCAGCCCTTGCTCTAAGGACTCTACTGTAAAAACCTACTCACTTTGCAAGTTTAAATCTAAGAAAGCAGCACAAGTATCATTTCATTTTACTGTTACACCTAAAACACACAATACTAAACTCTAATATTCTATTTAGAACGGTATTCGTAACATGAAGGTTTTATTAAGCACTTAAGAAAGGTACTATGGAATAAAATCTGTATATTGTAATGACTTTATTGTTACCTTCGCCCCCCCCCCACTATTCCATTTCAAAGGCTGCTTGAAACATATGGTCAGTCAAGTGTGCCTAATTTCTGTTACCCTTCCCAAAGAGCTAAACAGTGGACCGTGCACCGGGGGTGTACGTGTGGGGTGGGGAAGGAGGGTAGTGTGAAGAAGCGGGTGCAAATTAGAATTGGAGTAGTCAGAAACTAGTTATCTAAAGCCTTATTACCTGAGTATGCTACTTTGAAGTATGGGCTATAGACTAATAACAAAGTAACACCTGGGAACTGCTTACAAATGCAGACTCTTAGGCCCCAACCCAAACCTGTTGACTCAGAAAGCGATTTTTAACAGGAACCCCAAATGATTGTATACACTTTAAAGTTTGAGACCGCTGGTCTAAATCGCAACTTGATTTAGATTCATTCCAGTACCACAGTCTTTGGAGGGTCGTGGCCTTAAAGACAATGAAGGAGAACAATGCCTTTCCTAGGCGGACTTTTTATTTTCCTCCCAGGTGCACTGCCGCGGGGTCTGGCAAAGCCCAGGCCCTCCCTAGCCCACTACTGGCGCCTCCCTGGCAGGACCCGAAGGTGGCGGGGCCTGCACAGCCCCGCAATATGACTGCGGCAGCTGTGCAGACCGTCACACCCCTCCCGCGGTCCGCCGTGTTTTATTTACTCCACGGGGCCCGGGCGCCACGCGGAAAGGCGCACGTGGGTACTGGCCCCGCGGCTTCCAGCCCGGGAGGCGCGAGCCAGGGGAAAAGGCCTCGGGCCTTGCGCCCGGCCCTGGAAACCGCGGGCTTGGGCTTTAGGCCCGAGGCCCTCACCTTCAGTACCAAGTCGGTCAGGTAGACGGCAGTCCAGCCGCCCACCACCACTACCACCAGCGACACTGGAATCATGGCAGTGGCGGAGGCAGCGGAGGGATAAGCGAGCCCGGGCGTCCTCCTCCCTGTGAGCCGCAACGAGCCGAAAGCGCGACGCCTATAGCCCCAGCATCCGCGCAGGAACCAAGCTGTCACCGGTTCCTTTCTCCCGGTTGCGACGTTTCCCCCCGGACTCTTCCGGAAAGCACACAGCCAGCCATGCGCGCACCGGAAAAGGGTGCGGGGGTTTATTTTCGTGGCACACCCTGGAACCGAGGTGGGTGCGTCTGCTCGGCACCCCCGCCCAGCCCTCTAGCGATTTCTTAGGCTCTGGCCCTCCCTGCTGTTGGCTCTGTATTCTCTCCAGTTCTGGTCCGGGGTTTGCTGTTCCTTTTAAGCCAGTGAGAGTTTGGGGTCGTGTGAAGACAGCGGGTCATGTCTCCGTCTCGCAGACCCTGTCATAAGCATCCAGATTTAATTATGTTTATTCTTTTTTTTTTTTAATTTGAGTGTAGTTTACATAAAGCGAAATCATAGTGCAGGTCTCAATTGTCCATTTCAGTTAGTTTTGATAACTATGTATATCTGTGTACCCTAATCTAAATAGAGAACATTTGCACCTCAGGAATTTTCTTCCTTTCTCTTCCCAGGCCGTCCCTCCACCCACCCTTGTTCTAATGTATTTAAACTGTATAAATAGAGCTATACAGTAAGTATACTCTTTTGGGTCTGGCTTATTTCGCTCAACATAATTTTTTTCTTTTTAAAAATTTTTATTTAATTCAATTAGTTAACATATAGTGTATTATTAATTTCAGAGGTAGAGTTCAGCGATGCATTAGTTACATATCATGCCCAGTGCTCATTACATCACGTGCTCTCCCTAATGCCCATCCCCAGTTACCCCAAGCCCCCACCCACCTCCCCTCCAGCAACCCTCGGTTTGTTTCCTACCATTAAGAGTCTCATAAGGTTTGTCTCCCTCTCTGATTTCATCTTATATTTCCCTCCCTTCTCCTATGAGCCTCTGTTTTGTTTCTTAAATTCCACACATGAGTGAAATCATATATTTGTTTTTCTCTTATTTCACCTAGCATAATACCCTCTAGTTCCATCCACCAACATAATATTTTTGGGATTCATCCATGTTGTTGATTAAATTAGGTTCTTTTTGCAATCCCATCCATTACGAAATTTGAGATTGGTGCTGTATTTAAAAATTGGAGCTCCAAATATCTGCACATATTTGTATGCTGACCTATACTTGATTAAGTGTTGACCTGGAGTAGTGGTTCTCAGCCTTGGCTATACAGTAGGATCATCGCGAGGCTTCTAAAATTTCCTATGTCCATTTGCAGCCTAGATTAATTGAATCAGAAGCTCAGAGTGGGACCCGAGTCACTATTTTTTAAGGTCCTTACATCATTCCACTGTGTAGATGAGATTGAGAATCACTAAACTAAATGACTTCTAAAGGGAAAGAAAACCTTTATTTATGGAGTGTTTTTCTGTATTCTCTTAATGTTCATATTTTTGTAAGCCAACTTTTCCGAAAAAGCATCAGTAGCAATAATAGTATCAATATTAATATTGGGAACATAATACTATTTTAAGAACAAGTATCCCTAATAAAAACAGACCCTCATATATAAATGGCCTCTGATAGAAAAATGACAGTATAATACTAGAAAGCTGTTTTACAGATATTGCTACTAATTTGCCTCATTCTCCCATCCTTTTCCTAAAGTTTTAATAATTTAACACCATGTCCCTCCAGCTTCAAGAGACCTCATGAGTCAGTTTTACATCTCCTTGCATACATGTGTGCATATATGTTGTTATAAAATGTTTCAACTTCTTTTGGATGTAGTTGGGTGTAAATTATAAAAGTTTATATTCAAGCACTCTGTGACCCCACAGTTTTCCATGTACAGGTGCCCCAACAGTCTTAGTGCACTTTAAGGTTTTGATAATTTCAGAAGTATAGTTGCTACAAACTTGTAAAAGCCATCACTTGAAAGTTCATTTAAATTTCTTTTATACTTATTTCGTTTTGTGAATTCTGGATAATTTTAAATTTCAAGTGTTTTAGTCTCAACTGAAGATAAACGTTGAAAAAAATTGAAATACATTACTGTTTAAAAATTTCCAAGACTAAGCATGAAAGAAATTTAGGTATTTTTTTTACTTAAAAAAAAAGATTTTATTTATTCATTTGAGAGAGAGAGAGAGAGAGAGAGAGAGAGGGAGAGAGTTCACAAGCAGAGGGCAGAGGGAGAAGCAGGTTCCCTGATGAGCCCATGAGCGGGGACCCCGGGGCTCAGTCCTGGCTGGGTCCCAGACCCTGGGATCATGACCGAAGCCTAAGACAGACACTGAACCAACTGAGCCATCCAGCTGCCATAGTATTTTTATTTATTTATTTATTTATTTATTTATTTATTTATTTATTTTTAAAATTTTATTTATTTGACAGAGAGAGAGAGATCACAAGTAGACAGAGAGGCAGGCAGAGTGAGAGGGGAAGCAGGCTCCCTGCTGAGCAGAGAGCCCAGTGCGGGACTCGATCCCGGGACCCTGAGATCATGACCCGAGCCGAAGGCAGAGGCTTAACCCACTGAGCCACCCAGGCGCCCAGTATTTTTTATTTTAAAAGATGTTTTAAGTTTGTGGAATTTGTACTTCTGAAGTTATTAAAACTTAAAACTACACTAAGACTATTGGTAGGCTATTGTGTTTGAATTGGCCTTTGTTCACTCTTACATAATGACTGCAGTTTTTAACACTGTTCTTCCCGGGGAAGAGAATATGAATTTAAGATCTTTTTTTTTTGTTAGCCTGGAGCCTTGTCTGAACCCCTTGCTGGGACAATACCAGTTACTGTGTGGCTATATGATTACCTGAAATATGTAGGAAATGAGTTGATTGTGTTTTTCTGTTCCCAACCTAAAAATTTACTTATTCAGCTGACTTGGTGTTCTCCTCAGGGACCCAGCAGCCAATACAAAACGCTGAATTGAATCCTGCTGGTTTCTGGAACTTATCAGTGGTGGAAGCCAGCTGGTGGCAGCAGACGAGACAAGATAGAGGATGCAAGATGGCAGCACAAAAAAATACCTGAATTCCAGAAGATCAAAGTATTTTTCCTAAAAACAAATTTGTGACCTAGTTTACAAGTCGCTTCAGGTTTCTGTCGGTAATTAATTAATTAATTGATTAATGGAAACTTTACACCCAACTTGGGGCTTGAACTCATGACCCCAAGATCGCATGTTCTATTGGCTGAGCCAACCAGGCACCCCTGTCAGGTAACTATTTTAAATAGAGGACACATAGCCTCTATTATTATAAAATTATTCATACAATTTTATCATTTTTAGAGGGGGCATCAGATATGTATTTTTGCTGAATGCGAAATAGCTTCATTATTAAAAATCAATATTTGGCTGAAGCAGAATATCAACATCATTCAATAAACTTCTGAGATACCAGATCAACTTGAGATATAACATTAGATATTAATTTAAAATATTATTACAAATTCATTACGAAGAATATTAGTATTTAGATTTTTAAAGTCTGATGTTTTGTGCAGGAATATTTCTTTTTTTAAGGTGCACCCAATTAAAAAATCTTTAAATTAAATTAAAATTTAAAGTAAAAAAAATCTTTAAAAAAAATCCCAAGGGCTAAAAATAGCAAAGAATTATTTTTTTCTTTGTGCTCTGTATCCATCATTGTTTGGCATGCTGATGGAGACTTGACCATTTTATTATGCTCAAAATGAGGTTCAGCATTTACTGGGACAGAGAAAGAAAAGACTAGAGTATATACAACTGGCAGTAAAGTGCGATGGCCCCAATGTGCACATGTTGCTTCCGTTCATGTTTCATTAGCCAAAGTGGTCAAATAGTTGTACTTAACAAAAAGGGCAGAGGGAGGGGTTGTCTGGGTGGCTCAGTCAGTTAAGCGTCTGCCTTCCGCTCAGGTCATGATCCCCGGGTTCTGGGGATCGAGCCCCGCATCAGGCTTCCTGCTCAGCAGGGAGTTTGTTTCTCCCTTCCCTCCCCCTGTTCATGCTCTCTCTCCCTCTCTCTCAAATAAATAAATAAAATCTTAAAAAAGAAGAGCAGATGGAGTGTCATCACCTGGAAGGAGAGAAGAACACCTGGAAATACACAGCAGTGTAATCTACGCCTAAATAGCCGTTCACTCTCACCTAGGGAGGATACGGTGGCACAAAATGTTTGGTTAGTGCCGTGATTATGGGATATTGCTAGTGTTGATGCTGCCACAGGATTACTAAGTCTTTCTTTTCCATTTAATAGGAACCGACTTAAAGACTCCTTTCCATTTTTTTAATAAAGATCTTTTTTAAAAAAATTTATTTATTTGACAGAGATCACAAGTAAGCAGAGAGGCAGGCAGAGAGAGAGGGGGAAGCAGGCTCCCTGCTGAGCAGAGAGCCCGATGTGGGGCTCGATCCCAGAACCCCGAGATCATGACCCAAGCTGAAGGCAGAGGCTTAACCCACTGAGCCGCCCAGGTGCCCCTCCTTTCCATTTTAAATCCAGTCTTGGTATGGTTGCTGAAGATGGCACAGTTTGGTTGAAGCAGTCCCACAAATGGAAGTTTCTAGTGCCAGTTTAAGAAAATATTTTCTGAATCTCTTCTGAAAGTGCTGTCTTCACTTATGTTTCATTCCTAATGTATATAGACTTTGACTGCAACTGCTGCTTTACAGTCGTGTAGATAATGTTTGTCCTTGGGGCGCCTGGGTGGCTCAGTGGGTTAAGCCTTTGCCTTCAGCTCAGGTCATGGTCTCAGAGTCCTGGGATTGAGCCCCACATCGGGCTCTCTGCTCAGTGGGGAGTCTGCTTCCCCTTCTTTCTGCCTGCCTCTCTGCCTACTTGTGATCTCTCTCTGTGTCAAATAAATAAATACAATTTTAAAAAAAGTCTGTATAAACCTTGTTTCAAAAAATGTGCTAATGGAGCAAAATAATTGCTTTCAAGAAAACAATCATCTAGGTTTTTCCACCTGCATTTCAGTTTCACTTAGTGTACATTAGTGTCTTCATCTTTGTGGAGTGAGGAGAGAATCTTTTTAGCAGCTATCATGTAACACATATTTGTACTCTGAAAATATCAGTTTG